TAGTAGTGCACCCCGGCGAGCCGAGTTGGTGTCTATTGTACGGTTTCCAAGCTTTTCCAAGAAGCTTAACACTCTAATCCCCCACTAGATCTCATCGTCAGCTACATTTTCCGACCCCACATCGATAGGTTCTGATAAGCGGTTCTCGAGATTTCGAGGAATTTAGGCAAAGCTTTGGGTACACTACTATTAGAGAGAAGATGGTATATTATTCCAGGTTAGGCTAGTAGATCAGACTGATCTGAGATCTGAAGTCTCTTTTGAAGTGAGAAGCTTTTTCGGGATTGAGGCACTAGATGAGGGAGGGGGAGTGGATGGGTGGGCGAGCCGAGTTGATGACTATTTTACGGTTTTCAAGCTTTTCCAAGAAGCTCAACACTCTAATCATCGTCAAGATCTCATCGTCAGCTACATTTTCCGACCCCACATCGATAGGTTCTGATAAGCGGTTCTCGAGATTTCGAGGAATTTAGGCGACACTCAGGGTGCACTACTATTAGGGAGATTCCGGTAACTTAAAACCCATCAGATTAGATAAAACTCATCAGATTAGAATGAAACTTTCTCACATAGTAGACAAAAACTTATGGAAAATACCATAAAATACCAAAAACTGACGAGGGAAATACTATTTTATACGCTAACATATTTTGATGCCTTTCTTTATCTTGATCTTGATCTTGTAGACCTTTCTTGCACAAATCCCACATTTGAATCGCTTTTCCACTCGCAAATGAAGCAAAAAGCAAACTTTCCGCAACTCTCACCTAACCATTTCCTTTCTCATACAGCTATTTTCTTGAAGGAAATCTTTCACCCGCTTTCTCTATTTCATTTTACTCTCTTTTCTCAGCTTTTCTCATATTGATGGCTATTGATCTTAAAATGATTGAAAAAAAAGAATCTCCCCTCTTTTCCCCATTTTCAGCCACACCCCACTCTCTTCACTTGGTGATCACTTTTGGATGGATAGCAAAGCCGAGTTTTTAGCTGACTGATTTAGACTGTTTTTTGAGTAAGAATCCTTTTCTCAGAGCTTACTCATCAAACCTATTTTGACCTTCATTTCATGAGTTAAGGAGCTCTTTTCAAATGATTTAGGTAATCTATTTTATTTAGTTTTCAATGCTGCTTCCAATACGCTTTCAAAAACTGTTTATCAATTTGGAATTGCGAAATTAGCTGATTGATACATTTGATACACGCCCCGCCCCTTTGCTATTGGCAATCTAACTTTGAGCTCAAATTTCTTGGTGTTGGGCTGTCCAATTTAAATACTTTTTGTACCAATCGATAGAGAAAGACTTGGCGCATCGCATGAAATCAAGAATATTTAAATTGGATAGCCCAACATCAAGATATTTGAGCGCAAAGTTAGATTGGCAAAAGGGGCGGGACCAGAAAGACCTTTTATAAGCGCCCCACCCCTTTTGTCATTAGCAATCTGACTTTGAACTCAAATTTCTTGGTGTTGGGCTGTCAAAGTTAAATGGTTTTTGTACCAATCGACAGAGAAAGACTTGGAGCATCGAATGATATCAAGAATATTTAAATTGGATAGCCCAACATCAAGATATTTGAGGGCAAAGTTAGGTTGCCGATGGCAAAAGGGGCGGAGCGCATATCAAATGTCCGATAACCAAATTAGCTGGCAAAGAAAGTTATAACGAGGCTTTTTTAGTACCTTTAAGGCCTATATCATTATTTTCGAAGAAGTGCAGTGATAATGTAGTGGAAAGGGGGCTCGTTTTGTGGTCAATTCTAGATTCTCTCTTGCTGTTTGCTGTTCTTACAGCATGTTGTACAGGAAAACTTGACTAGCAAGCTACTAGGTTCAACAAATTGTATTTAATTGTTTAATTGAATCATTTAATTGAATCATTTAATTGAATCATTTAATTGAATTTAACTGAATCTTTTGCATTGCTTGAATCGAAATTCATATTTTGATTCGTATTGCAAGCTTTATAAAAATGTTTTTGGTTCTGAGAACTAGAAGAGAAGCTCTCTAAATGAAGCTCTCTAAATGAAGCTCTCTAAGTGAAGCTCTCTAAGTGAAGCTCTCTAAGTGAAGCTCTCTAAATAGAACAGAAGCTCTCTAAATGCAAGACTATTTCAAAGCCCATCCTCTTCATCTTTATTTTCTTAATTTATATTACTCAAAGTTCTCGAAAATCCGTACAGACATTTCAAATGCATTCAAGTAATATTGACTTTTCACACCTCATTCCCTACCTTCCACTTTCACTGCCTCCTTTGTTGTTCTTTTTTGTTCTTTTTCCATGTCTTGTTTGATTCGAGATTGATTTGTAGACAGATTGGGGTGAGTGAGTGACTAACCTCGTTTCCCTCCATCAGAAAACTCTTTTCATTTCACTCAACGCATTTCCACCTTTTCTCTTTCGCTTTTCAAGGGGTTAATTGTTTAAAAAAAGTGATTCAGCTATTAATAACTCTTGAATTCAACGTTATTAATAGCTGAATCACTTTTTTTACTTGAACTTGAACAACTTGAAATGCTGTGGTCAAACTTGAAATCCTGTGGTCGAGCAATTGATGGCTATTGATTTCTCTAAAAGCTTGAGCTTGGAATCTCTAAAAGCTCTAATCTGGCAAATCTCTAAAAGCTTGGAAATAAAATTGACGCAAACATCATGAGGGCCGCCTTATATACGCCTCCTTTTCAAGATATCCAGCCGTTTGGTGGGAAATTCTCTGAAAATGTAAAAGATATTCAATTTTGAATCAATTTTAAGGGTGTCTCAATCTCATAGTGCAGAAATTTGGACAGCATTGCTTTAATTTTCTTTCCAAATTCCAAAACGAGGAAATAAAAAAGCGATCTATTGCAATATATTCTGAAATGCAATTCAAAATTGCTATGGTTTTAGAGATTTGAGCATTTTTTTCAGATCGTATTTGACCATCTGACAAGAAACATTTGTAGACACCAGCTTTTGACGGATTTTGATTTAGTTGTGGAAATGTATTATCTAGTATCCTCTCGAGTGAGGAATTCTCGAATAAAATTTGTATGAATAATCTTTACTCGATTAATTGACGTTTTGGGTCGAGTAACTATGAGCAATCCTCTTTACACGTCGAGTAAATTGAATATCTTTACATTTGAAGGGAATTTGCCACTAAATCAGTTAAACGGCTGAATCTCTTTAAAAGACGGCGTATAAAAGGCAGCGTATATAAGGCAGCGTATATAAGGCAGCGTATATAAGGCAGCGTATATAAGGCAGCGTATATAAGGCAGCGTATATAAGGCAGCGTATATAAGGCAGCGTATATAAGGCAGCGTATATAAGGCGGTGTATATCAGGCAGTGTATATAAGGCAGCGTATATAAGGCAGCGTATATAGGGCAGCGTATATAAGGCAACGTATATAAGGCAGCGTATATAAGGCAGCGTATATAAGGCAGCGTATATAAGGCGGTGTATATAAGGCGGTGTATATAAGGCAGCGTATATAAGGCAGCGTATATAAGGCAGCGTATATAAGGCAGCGTATATAAGGCAGCGTATATAAGGCAGCGTATATAAGGCAGCGTATATAAGGTGGTGTATATAAGGCGGTGTATATAAGGCAGCGTGTATAAGGCAGCGTATATAAGGCAGCGTATATAAGGCAGCGTATATAAGGCAGCGTATATAAGGCAGCGTATATAAGGCAGCGTATATAAGGCAGCGTATATAAGGCGGCCTATATAAGGCGTTCTATATAAGGCAGCTCGTGATTTTTGCCCCAATTTTGCTTGCTGGCTACGTTGTGCCAAATTTTTTTGCGCAACTCGCCATAACTCTCTTCTAAGTGGGCGAATCTTTATGATCTTGGTGTCATTTTGTAGATCTCAACAAGTACAAGAAAATGACACCAAAATCATAAACATTGGCCCATTTAAAAGAAAGTTATGGCGAGTTGCGCAAAAAAAAATTTGGCTCAAAGTGGCCACCGCCCGCCAATTTTTTTTTTAGTAATAATCTTCGCTAAAAGTACGATAATTTTTCCGAAGTGTGCATTTTAAAAAACGCATTACTTGTGGAGAAAACGCTTTACTAACCATGCTAAATGTCACAAGAACTAAAGTTATTTGCATTTTCGGAATCAGTATCTCAAACTCTACAAGATGTGCCCAGTCCCGAATCTATTTCAGATCTCGAAAGACCATTGTTAGGCTTTATTTCAGTCCTTTTTCCACCCCGATTTCCCTAGATTTTTCTCACCTCTAACTTATGCTAAACTTGTAAATTTTGATCATCGATACGCGGTGGATTGGGTGTGGTCTCGGTTCATTCTATTGTGATGACCTTGTCATTCTCTCCTCTATTTCCTTCTTTTCCCCTTCTCTCCACACCCATTTCCCCCACAATTTCCAATCGTTGGCTTTCTTCAATTTTTCTTTTCTTTTCTTTTCTTTTTTTCCTTTCTTTTGCCCAATTTGTCCTCACTAAAACGCGCAAATAAGAAAACAAAATGATTTGGGGGTTTTTCTGGACGCTTTTGACTTATCGACCGATTTTGAATTTGAAATTTTAGATCTCTTAGATGTCTTTAGATCTCTTAGATGTCTTTAGATCTCTTTAGATGTCTTTAGATCTCTTTAGATGTCTTTAGATCTCTTTAGATGTCTTTAGATGTCTTTAGATCTCTTTAGATGTCTTTAGATCTCTTTAGATGTCTTTAGATCTCTTTAGATGTCTTTAGATCTCTTTAGATGTCTTTAGATGTCTTTAGATCTCTTTAGATGTCTTTAGATCTCTTTAGATGTCTTTAGATGTCTTTAGATCTCTTTAGATGTCTTTAGATCTCTTTAGATGTCTTTAGATGTCTTTAGATCTCTTTAGATGTCTTTAGATCTCTTTAGATGTCTTTAGATCTCTTTAGATGTCTTTAAATCTCTTAGATCTCTTTAGATTTTCTAGTTTTGGTTTTTCACTTAAAGATTTGCATTTTCAGTTGAAACTATTCAAACGAGGGATCGATCCAAAATGGATTTGAGAAGCCTGGTGAGGGCGAAGAGGACAACGGAAATCCTCTTACAGGGCGAAAGTCACGGAATCATTTATGAAGGATACGATAAAGCTTTCATTCAATGTATCTTCGAAGAGGGAAGTATTCAGGGAAGAAACGAAAGATACGAGTTTCGGTGAGTTGTCGGTAGATGATAATAATGATAATAATATCATTTTTAATGATAATAAAGTAAAGAAGTGAATGGCAAACAATTTTGAGGCAAGGGGAAATTGAAACCTTGACTTTCTATTTACCGGGCAGATCCTCTACCACTGAGCACTGAGTTTGTAAAAGTTCCTGATCTAGTTCCTGATTTGTTCCGGTATACTGTATTGCTACAGAGTACGGAGACAGTACAGTATGTCATCAATTTCTTTGCCCTAGAAGAAATAGGAAAGACAAGGAAGAAGAAAGAAGGTAGAAGAAAGAAAGGAAAAAACAAATCAGTTTCCTGGATCGTGATTGTCACAGATTGAGATTTCCGCATATTTTCTGAATTCTGAATTCTGAATTTCTGGCTTTCTGACTATTCAGTAAGCATCGTAATGATCAAGAAGAGCACTTTAAAACGAAAGCTCGTACTATTCGAAACCCTTTCTCTTATTTCTAGCTTTCTCTATCTTGAGAAAGATAAAGAAAACTTATGAGAAAGATGAACAAGTCAATTGTCCTTTTTTTGGCAATTGTCCAATTGGCATTGGCTTTAACTAGACATTGGAAAATTCCAAGCCGGAAGAAGCAAAACGGTTAGCGGCTACGCGACTGTACGAGGGCGGTGGGGTACTATTACAGTATTTACGGTAATTCCGCCTTCGTTTTCTCGTCCGTTTTTTGTCCTATTACTTTGAAATTTTGCCTAGAAGCTGTCGATTTCTAGAAGAAAAAATCTCAGAGCAATCGGTCAAGCAACGGCCAAGAAAACGAACATGGAATTACCGTAAATACTTAATAGTACCACACCGCCCTCGTACAGTCGCGTAGCCGCTAACCGTTTTGCTTCTTTTGAGCACAGAGCTCTTTTTTTGAGTTGCAATTACCCGTTTATAACCTGCTCTTGGACGTAACAGGAGAACATGCCTTGCACATAAGAGAACTTTGAGGATATCTAGCGATCTAGGTCAAACCCTGGAACCCCGAGATCCATCATTATCATGGTCCGAGGATCAGGCCCGACTCTAAATACTGTACTAGATACAATACCGTCTTTTACATACCGGAAATACTGTAATAGTACCGCACCGCCCTCGTACAGTCGCGTAGTCGCAAGTTTTTAGCATTTCATTTTTTTCAAAGACCCTGTACTTTCAAAAAGTGCGTCTTTGGTATCAAAACATAGCCCTGAATCTCAGCTATTTTTTGATACCTAAGCGAACATTGTAGCATAAACCAGTGTCGAGAAAAACTCGTTCAAAGCTAGACTACGCAACACTCCGCACCGTCATTATGGGGGTGGGGTACTATTACAGTATTTACGGTAGGTTCGGTTTGAAATTTCCCCATCTCTAGGATTTCAGGACTGATTTCAGGGCATTTCAGGACTCTAGGTCTCATAGGATTTCTCAAAATTGTTGAATCAAATACTCCTCACAATTTCAGAGTACTTTGTGCTTATATCTTGTGTAAACACAGATTTTCTGGTGCACTGGTGGTTTCTGTGAGTTTCTGCTTTCACAGAAAAGAGAATTGAAAAGAAATCGAGTGCACCAGAAAGGATTTGTTTCTATTTTAAAGCATCATTTAACTCTAGCTTAAGCTAGAGATGCCTTTTTTAAAATAAAGCCAAATCAATTCAAAAACTTTCTTGTTGATATCATTTCCATATCCAAATTTCAGCTGTGATGCAAGCCTTCAATGCTGTGGTCGATCGTGTTGCATCCCCGAGGACGCCACGATTCCACTTTGGTGAGTATCACTTGATCACTTGATCACTTGATCATTTGATCATGACCATGACCAAATAATCTAAAACAACAGTAAATCCTTTCAAACCTTCAAACAACGAACCTCAGATTGTTCATCATTTAAATCATTCTCATGCAGGCTTCTCATTCTCTTCATCATTTTGGCCTCGTTGATAGCTTTGGCTCTTCTCGCCACGCTCGCCTACCTTTTGGCACAAAAGTTGAAGAATCGACCAAAGAAACGTGAGCTGTTTAAAAAGTGTGCCCAGAATCCCGTAAAATCTTTTAACTCTTAACTTTTAACTTTGCATGGTTCAAGCGGAATGTTTGAGTTGAAAATTGAGTTCTTTCTTGAGTTCTTTCTTGAGTTCTTTCTTTACCCAAAGCATGGAATCATTTCTCCAAACATCAGATCCAAAAAATCTTCAATAACAATAATAAAACTAATAAACTTAACTCAGATAACTTGTAATTTGACAGATAACTCTGGAGTTACAAGGTGGTAGTGCTGTTTAGATCAGAAATGTCTTCTTTTAAAGCTAAAAACAGCTTTAAACATTATAGCCGATGCAACACTTGCTTTTGCGGCACTTGCGGCATTAAAAAGCAGCACTTGGTCTCTTTTTACTTGAGTTTAGAAAGCTAGATGTTAAGGATAGATTCAATTTAGCAAACTCTTCAAAGTCTAGCTTAAATCTTAGGTCTAACTGCTGTTTTAGTGTAAACTCTAGGGTTACAAGATGGTAGAGCTGTAAAAATAAGTCTAACGCCAACCCTGGAACCTTTCCCTAATGAACTCCCCTATTCCTCAACCCCATTTAACCATGCATGCCTTAAATTTTCAGAAACGAACGCCTATCAAACGCTCACCGACAACGGACTCGACAAATCACATCTAATGGAAGAAGAGAAGTACTCAAGTCCATACGGTGATCGGGACAGATGGAGAGACGAAATGGCATTGCTGGAAGAACAGAGAAGAGCAAGAGAGGATTTGGAAAGAGATAGGGAAAGAGAAAGAGAAAGGGAAAGGGAAAGACTCGAAAGAGAAAGACTGGCACAAGAGAGGGAGAGACTGAGAAGAGAATTGGAGGAATTGGATAGGATGAAGATGGATCAGATGAGGAATCGAAGGGGAAGCTCCGACGAGGATTCGGTGGTCCACACGAGGAGGGAAACGGTTGAGGAGAATTTCGTGTCTGAAGTGCGATATGAGAGAGATGCGAGTGATGATGATGGGGATTATAGGAGAAGATATTTGTGAATGAAATGATTCAGTTTTTCTTTGATTGATACAGCATCTTTTGATTTGACTTTGGCAAGGATGGTATGCGAGCTTTTCTGCAAATTTTATAATTTTGGTTATTTTTAGCTTGAAGCTTGTCTTGAGAAAGCAAAAGAAACCTCTACAAGGTGGCTCACGATTATAGCGGCACTTCAGAGGGCCTAGATTGATCAAAATCAAAACGATTGACCCAATTTTGACCAATCTAGGCCCTCCGAAGTGCCACTATCATTGTGGGCCTGTAATAGGCCTGTAATAGTTCCTGATATATTTGTTCCGGTATACTGTATTGCTAGAGAGTACGGAGACAATACAGTATGCCAAAAAAAAACATATTACAACTTGAATTAAACCACAGTCACCAAATTCTTCCAGGCTAAACCAGAGCCAGCCCAACTTGGCTCAACTTGGCAACAAAAGTTTTATGGCAGTAGACTTCACCTCTAATAGTCTTATGATTAAACCTAGAGATCTTGATTGATTTGATCTCGATGGGATTTAACTTTTATGTCATCACAGTACCGATATCAGCACTGGACAAGTTAAGCCGAGTCTACAGTACGAAGCCAGAAGTCAGACTTGAACCTGCTAGTCTGATCTGGCATGGCCTGGCTTACAACTCCTGTCAAGTACCAGTTCCAGTACTGGTACTAGACAGCGGTCAAGTACCAGTTCCAGTCCTGCTACTTAACAGATATTAGTCTATAAGTTGTGGCTGTGAAACAAGGTAGTCAGATTTCAAACCTGTACCCTCTGGTCCTAGTCTGTCTTGACCCGACTAATAAAGTTGAATTTTGAATTTTGAAAAAGCCCAGTTGAATTTTGCTTTTACAGTATCTTTAAGCGCCTCTATTCTTTAAGCTCTCAATGCAAGCTACGTTTAAAAGATTTCCATACCGTCCAAAAGCCCCATTTCCCCATTTCTCGCATGTGTTCATCATACTCATTTTTATCCCTACAAACAGCATGATATCCAAGTTTTTTTTTTCCTCTTCTATTTCACTTTCACTTTACATTTCTCTTTTTTTAATTGAATGTACATATTCCGAATTTCTCTACAAATAACAATTTAACATGTTTACCTTTTCAAATTTTCTTGCTTATGAAATAAATCTTTTAAAAGAAGAACATTTACAGCCAAATTCGTTCCCTCGCCGATGTCCGAAGAGAATCTGAAATCGCCACAAGCCGTCAAAATCATTCAGGTAAAGTGTAGACAAGTAGGCTGAGCTCAAAACAGAGACACACCTTGGCTCTTTCCCTGAAATGTGGTCCTTTGAAAGTTTCATTTCGAAAGTTTCATTGTCTTTTGGCCAAAAAAGTCGGTTTCGTGGTTTGTCAAAAAAAGTTAGTTCTGTGGGAGCACTTCGGGGAAGGCTAGTGTCTCCGACACAAAGTTACCGGCTTGTTCTACCACTGAAGAAGCACTTCGAACAATCAAACGCCGGGGCCAATAAGCGATGTGGAACGTGCACATCGATGGCAGGGATCACTTTACGGCAAACTTGAACAAGCCGGTCCTTTTATGGGTTGAGGTTGGGAAGACACGCCGATCGGCGCCAGGATTCGAATCAACAACCTCTCGACCGACCCGACTTTACCGGACGCTCTACGGACACGTAGCCCATTATCGTCAGTATAGGACCTTATGCCTTACTGCAACACACAAAGAAATGGCATCTATGCTGTTGAGGAGACGTCGTGCCAAACCATGTGTCTTAAAACCATGGTTGTTGAATATCTTAATGAAGAAAAAAACATGGAAAAGGCAAAAAATTCAAAAGATCTTGAAACTGACTTTTTGGCTCTTTCCGTTTCCGGAGTTCCGGGTATTTTGAAAGAATCCGGGTCTTTTTGAAAAATCCGGGTATTTTGGACGGGTCGTCACGCTTTGAAGACCTATAACTTTGTCCCGAGATAATATTTTTGTTAACTTTTTATAGCATTGTACAGAGGACATTTCAGCCTTTCAAATGATACCAAACAGAGCTTGACTGGCTTTTTAATTCCCATGCAAATAAGGCGACACGGCACTCGAGTTGGATAGGTCTCATTCGCTCAGAGTTGGCTCTGATTTTCTTAGACTGAATTATCCAATCAAGCTCTATTTGGTATCATTTGAAAGGCTGAAATGTCCTCTGTACAATGATATAAAAAGTTCACAAAAATATTATCTCTGGACAAAGGTATAGGTCTTCAAAGTGTGACGATCCGTTCAAAATACCCGGAAACTACGCAAGAGCCGACTTTTTTAGCCACATTTCAGGGAAAGAGCCTACATCTTTTCTGGCGCACTGAATGCTTTATTCTTATTATGCCAAAGGGCAAAAGTTGATGCTTTAAAAAGGGTGTTTGCCCTCTTTGAGCACAAAGTATGATACATCCCATCTCTCATAGGTCATTTATAGTCTAAAATTAAAAGCCAAAAAACTACTGATTATCTAAATGAAATACTTAGTACTGGGGTTGTCATTTGCAGGTGAAAATTTGGGTTATTTACGTGCTTTTTCGTATTGAATTTTTCCTATTAAAATCACCCAAGGGTGACTATTAAACAATTTTGGATAGGGTAACCAAGATTTCTTGTTCAAGCACGGATTTTGAAGGAATTTTGAATTGCTTACGGTCTTCTAAGAGCTTACTCACGGCCTTCTAGGAGCTTTAGTCTTTTTGGAATTTTCGGAGCTTTCAAAACGATCCAGTTTATCGTAAAAATCGGTAACTAACAGAAATTTACGGAAATTCAAAAATCAAAGCAAATTGTGAATCGAAATGAATGATCTAATCGATGAGTACACAAAAATCAATAAGCCAATATTTTCTAGCGATCCGAGCACGAGATCTCGCGCGCCGGTGACGCCGATGTGAAGGAGATCGAGCCGCTCGTGCCTCAACGAGCTCAAAAAGCCTTCTACAGGTCTCAAAAAGAGAACATTGCCTCGTACAATCCTGTAGATTAAAAAAAAGAATAGATTCAAATCTTGCATAATTCATATTCTCAGGGTTTCCCCTTCTCAATTTCTCTTTTCCTTCAGTTTTCTGTGTTTTCCGGTGTAATTCTCAAATACTCAAGTGGAAAATAAAGATTTTTATGGAAATTTCTGATGAAAATGCACCGGAAAACATGGATTTAAGGAGATTTTAACGTTTTTCACTTGGATTTGAAAAGCTTTCTTGCTGAAAAGCTTGCTTGGTGAAAAGCTTGCTTGGTGGAAAGCTTGCTTGGTGAAAAGCTTGCTTGCTGTAAAGCTTGCTTGCTGTAAAGCTTGCTTGCTGTAAAGCTTGCTTGCTTGATGAAAAGCTTGCTTGGTGGAAAGCTTGCTTGGTGGAAAGCTTGCTTGCTTGCTGAAAAGCTTGCTTACTGAAAGCTGACTTTTTAGACAAGAACAAACTCTTTTCGAGTACCTACCTTGTTTTCTAGAAGCTCTTTTTACGTCTTTTACAATTCTAGAAGCTTTTACAATTGTATTTTGTTGATAATGTTATTTTCCCGTTTCCAGACCATTTGTGGCGGATGCTGTTGAAGAGTTGGACATGCCCCGCCCACTCCGTGACTCCGTCTCGCATCACTCGATCGCCGAAATCAGGTTCGACAAGGAAACATTGATGAATTGCAAAAAAAAACAGCTTTGTTTACTTTATCACTAGTTTTCATTCTTAAAAGCAACCGGAAAATTGAAAATTTCATTCACATTGATTTTTCGAGCAAACTTTGTTAGCTCAATGAGGGAGAATTGAGAGTTCTTCGCGGCTAATGCTTCGAAAAAGTCATCCATTTTGGAAATACCAATAGATTTGTAATAGATTTGCCAGTTTATATCTGTTCAGTTCAATCTTGATTGCATTAGCTCAGCCCTGTGATTCCTTGTCGAATAATAGCAAAATTAGAGGTGATCAAATGTAAACTGGCGGTTCGAGTATGGTGAAATAGGTGACTTTTAGAATAGACCTAGCTAATAGTAAGGGGAATGCAGTTCAATCATGACTAAGGGAAAGTCACAAGGCTGCGGTGGCCAAATGACATGAGCCATATACAATACGACGCAGAATTTTACGCTGATTCCGATGCTGCTATCCGATGCTGCTTTTTTGCAAAATGATTCGGAAACGCGAAGAGTCTGGCAAACAAGTTTAAGTTTGAGGTCAAAAATCAGTCCTTTTAAGTCATCCTTTTAAGGCTTTCTAAGGCGATATAGGGCCTCTTTCACCGAAATAGGACGATATAGGGCTTCTTTCACAAGTGAGCTTGTGGTGTAGTGGATAGGGGTCTTGTTTCCACAACAAACTACCAGGTTTTTGCTGGGGTTTGGTTCCTTCCTGTTGTTTTCATTTTATTTTGTTGTTAACCGTTCGAATTCACTCTATTTTAACTTTACAATAAGTATACAACAGTTACAATTACAATAAGTACAATAAGTACAATAAGTATACAACAGTTACAATTACAATAAGTACAATAAGTACAATAAGTACAATAAGTACAATAAGTACAATAAGTACAATAAGTACAATAAGTACAATAAGTACAATAAGTACAATAAGTACAATAAGTACAATAAGTACAATAAGTACAATAAGTACAATAAGTACAATAAGTACAATAAGTACAATAAGTACAATAAGTACAATAAGTACAATAAGTACAATAAGTACAATAAGTACAATAAGTACAATAAGTACAATAAGTACAATAAGTACAATAAGTACAATAAGTACAATAAGTACAATAAGTACAATAAGTACAATAAGTACAATAAGTACAATAAGTACAATAAGTACAATAAGTACAATAAGTACAATAAGTACAATAAGTACAATAAGTACAATAAGTACAATAAGTACAATAAGTACAATAAGTACAATAAGTACAATAAGTACAATAAGTACAATAAGTACAATAAGTACAATAAGTACAATAAGTACAATAAGTACAATAAGTACAATAAGTACAATAAGTACAATAAGTACAATAAGTACAATAAGTACAATAAGTACAATAAGTACAATAAGTACAATAAGTACAATAAGTACAATAAGTACAATAAGTACAATAAGTACAATAAGTACAATAAGTACAATAAGTACAATAAGTACAATAAGTACAATAAGTACAATAAGTACAATAAGTACAATAAGTACAATAAGTACAATAAGTACAATAAGTACAATAAGTACAATAAGTACAATAAGTACAATAAGTATTTTGTTTTTTATCAATTAAAAGATATCATAATGTCATAAGATGTATTGTAAAGTTAAAATAGAGCGGTTGCGCTCTGATCCGCTCTGAGCCGAGTGCCCCTTCCATTGGATAGATCAGATTCGATCAGTTTCGATCAGATCCGACACAAATCCGATAACATGATCACTAATTATGAGCATATATCTGTGAGAAAGCTTTTATTTTTTTACAACTTAATATATAGTTTTATAGACAAATATTCTTTTCAGCCAAGCCCGATTACCGCAAGTGTCCGCCGTGGAGCAGCCGAAAGGCCGAAACGCTGAGCGACTCTACAAAAGACCCGGATTTGACAATGTGCCCTCGTACAACTAGAAAAATCGTTGTAATACCGATTTTGCATTTTTAGCTTGAGTGAGATTGATTGAATAGATTGAGTGAGATGAATATTTAGTTGAAGAAAATTGATTAGTCATTTATTGTTAAGTTGTCAACTCAACTTGTTTTAAAGTCCCCAAATTTTGTCTTTTCTTACTATAGTGAGACAAAATATGGGAAGTTTACACGTGTATTTCAAAGCTCAGGCTAAATATCTTTTAGCTTATCTTCCAGGTTATATTCAAGCTTATATTCAAGATATTCCATTCTAGATAGCAATCCATAAACTTAAGCCAAATTTGTAGAATCGATTTGTGTCTGTTGTGCTCAAGTCAAAAAATTTTCTTTGTTTTTCTTTGTCATTTACTGCCAATCTAGGTGCTTTATACGCAATTTTTCTGACTTAAAACTGCCAACTTTTCATTGTAGTAAAAGATTTTTATGAAAACAACACCATTAACAGAAATTTATTTTCTCTCTACCAAAGACGAGACTCAGAGAAAAAGTTTTTACAAGAGGAATGAAAAGGCGAAATCCTTCCACAATAGGATTTTTCACCGTCGACGATTTCTCGAGATCATACACTGAACGGGTGAAAGGAAACAATTTTGGAAATCGTCGGCTTGATCGATTGATCGCCTCTCGACGGCGTTTCCCTGAAAAAATTGGGGATTGATTAGTGAATTGTTTGAGAAGTGATTGGGAATTGATTATTTCAGAGACTTTTTGAGCCAGGCAAGTCCATACCAGTCAGCACTTGGTTTCTGGCCTGCCTTTCCTTGATCTGTTTGTTCCCAATAGTCCATAGGTCCGTTAGGACCAGGCCTAGAATGGCCCGGAACATACTTGCTCTGCACCTGGCTTACAGACTCTAGTACAAGGGTTTTAAGGATTTTAAACCCGCCCGGATCGAACTCGGTTCAATTTCAAATTGCTTAAAGTTTGTTCTATGTTAACTTTACAAAGGAAAATCCTTCTTCTAACTAGTGAACGAAAATGGCTTACAAAAACTGTGGAAAACTTACGCTTCGCTTGATTGGCCCGGGTCCGGCGTTGCGATCCCTTCTGAAAATGGGTTTAGGTCAAGAGAAAACACTGATTGAGCAATAATTAAGCTAATGATGGGATAACTTACTGCATCATGAGTCGAATGAGGGTTTGTCGAGACATTCTCTTCTCCGCTTGTCCCGAGAATTCATCGATGCTTTGCTGTGGATCATACGAGACAACGTATGCATCGATTGAGAGACAGAAAATAAGCAAAAGAGAAAGAAGACCCAATAATGATTTCATCTTTGTGTGAGAGGTGCGCTGCGTATATGTGATATACCCTGAAAAGTTGAGATGAAGTTCAAATCGCTTCAGTATGAGGTAAAAAGAGGTCATCGGACATTTGATAGGCGCCCCGCCCCTTTGGCCATCGGCAATCTAACCTTGAGATCAAATATCTTGATGTTAGACTATCCAATTTAAATATTCTTGGTATCATTAGATGCGCCAAGCTTTTCTCTGTCGATTGGTACAAAAACTATTTAAATTGAGAAACACCAAGATATTTGAGCTCAAAGATAGATTGCCCATGGCAAGGGGGCGGGCGTGTATAAAAGGAACACCCCGCCCCCTTTGGCTGTCCAATTTCAATAGTTTTTGTACCAATCGATAGAGAAAGCCTTGGCGCATCCAATGATACCAAGAATATTGAATTGGACAACCCAACACCAAGATATTTGAACTCAAAGTTAGATTGCCAATGGCAAGGGGGGCTGGGCGCGTATCAAATGTTCTACAATCGTAAAAAAGATGCTGCAAATCTTACAGTATGTTAAAATAAACGATATTCAAGCGTCAAGGTTGAAAATTTAGGAAAATTTTAAATGTAATTCAGTATTGAAAACTTTCTGAGATATTGTGCTAGAGATTTTTGATAACTAAAGTCATTATGGATCAATCAAATTTTAAAATACTATAAAATCTCAATCGTCTGTCTCACTATAGTATGTCAACTGAAAATATTCAGGCGAAACGATTATTCTTCAGCTTCTTTAGGAAAAAATAGTCATTACAGTAAGCTTAAAGTATTGAATATATAATAAATAATCATATTCAGTAAAACAATAACAAAAATTCCAAGAAAAAGGATGTTAAACTGAAATATTCAGAAGTTTTAATTTCCAGAAGTCAAAAATCGTTTCCTCAAACCAAAAAAACATTTGACCTTTGGACAGTTGGAGATATTGAGTTTCGTGCGTAAATTTGATTACTCGACTACTCTCAAAAAACGATTTATGTTTGTGTTGTAGTAACTTTTTCTCTTATAACAGAAACGCCTGTAAACAGGTGAAAATTAGCGTTTTGCTGTCTCTAGATATCCGTAAGGAGTTGAAAATGTGCGGAAATGGTGGCGGAAACGTCATTTGAAATGAATGTACACAAAACTCTTTACTCTGTAGTCAATTTGACATTTGAATACTTGATCTACTTACCAATTTCATGTACCTTCTACTTGTACTTTGTACTTTGTACTTTATGGGCTATTTTCTTTGAGCAATCAAAGAAACCGTGAAAGAGAAGAATTTGCGCCAGAAAGTGCCAGTTCAATTAGAAAATGAGTTTCAAAACAAGTCAAGAACTTATTGGTTGAACTTATTAGTTCAAGAACTCAGCAATGGATTCGCAGAACTAAAAATAAGTAAACTTTAAACATTTGATGACGAGATCCCTGGTGTGGGTGGACTTGAGGCTGATAAAACTGCTCCATTTCCTTCCTCTAATTGTCTTTTTGTTAGCGTTTCACTTTCCTTTTCCGGACACAATTTTTCATTAAACCCTTGCGTAGGTTCATGCATTTTTAAGAAAAAAAAAAGAGAAAAAGCGCACGACAAGCGCTTCCTGGAACATTTTGGGAATCAAGAGTTCAATGAAATGAGGTCAATTGGAAAAGAGTGAACTTGAGATCGGAGTTTTCCACGTAAAACTCAAGCTGATCAAGCAGAAAAGAAGTTTGAACTTTGATTGTATTACAATCTTTGGCTTATGGACTTGGAAGCAAACTGTTGAACAAAGCAAAAGAAAAAGCCCTTGTCTGTAGAAATCTGTAGAAAAAATGCCAAATTTGGCTGTTTTTTTTCCTGCAAATTCTACATCCCGTTAAGCCATTGTGTCAGTTAAACAGTAGTTAAACTGAGAGAACAATGGAGTCAAATTTATGGTCTTATATCCATAAAAATGCTTGATGCACATTAATTGTTAACTGCATAGTCTTTTAAAAGTTCTTAAAATTATTGGGTTGGGGAGAATGAGTCGGCGCCGAAATTTAAAGAAACTTTTTGCACCCATAAAACCTTCTTTAAATACACGTTTCATCAAAATGGTCCACTATTTCTTTACAAAATGGCTTTTGAGAGCTTCCACAAAGCTTTTCTTTTTTGGGATTTTATGGATTCCCAAACACAGCTAATCAAAATGACAAAAAGTCCGACTCATTGCTTGAACAGTTTCTTCCACATAAACCTCCTTTGGTGTTTATATAAAAAAAATAGAGCACATTCAATTACTTAAGTTGCCAAATTTGCAGGAAGATCCCACCAATGGTTTTTTCTAGATGACAGTTTATCGATTTTGTGAAAAAATGATTCTTTGTTGAGTTGAGGCGCTGTTTGAGTTCTCTTTTAAATATTATTTTGTAGAGAATTAGTTACCCTTCTACGGATATCAAACGCATATCATTTGACAAAGTCTGCTATAAGTTTTAGAAATTTCTTTGATTTTCGGCGCCGACTCATTCTCCCCAACCCAATATGTCTACCAGTTACAATTTGAGAGTGAATTATCTGAAAGAATCGTTTCAAGTCTCTTTAAAAGTTCAAGTTGAGCTTAGAATGGACGGGAAATCGAAATATAAACAAGTAATTCAACAACTAATTCAACAAGTAATGAAACAAATAATTAAACAAGTAAAAGAAATGAAATTTTGTTTTCTAAGACTGGCAATATCTTGCAGTTATTGCAGCCGCCTTAACCAAAACGTTGTCTAGTAAACACCCTAAATCTGGAACAAATGATAGAATCTTTTGCGCAAAAAAAGCTTTTTCAATGTGCGGATTGACTGAAAACCTTTTAAGATCAAAGAAAAAAAAACAAAAGAAAGTTTTTGAGTACCTGTGGGGAGTCGATCATTTTCTCCTCGGATGAACCTCTTTGGAGGGTCCGGAAGCGATGACGGGATAAGGGAAAAAGGACAAAAAAAAGGATAAAAAGAGAACAAATGAATACCTTCCACCCACAGAAATCAACCTCCACTTATGGGGTCTCGAGCTGAAAAGCTTTTAAGTTTAAGGGAAAGATTAGTAAAACTATGGATAAAACGTCCGCCCACCTATTTCTCTGTTTGTAGTCGAAGTATTTTTAGGGAAGATGAGGGGGGGGATGATTTCTGGCAAAAAAATAGACCTTACTTGATTTGGTTTTGAAAGAGTAGAATCACTACTACTCACTAAAATCACCCCCAATTTACGAGAATGTTTAAAGGCTGAAATCTGAAAAGCTTTCGGATTTTAAGACAAAGATTTAGCTGATTACGAGTCAAAATAAAAATATTGACCTCTATAATTTTAGGTTTGTCTTTTCAAAACTAGACATGGGGTAGAGGAGCTTTTTTTGGAGTCTCGGTAGATTCAGACAGTAGTTGAACATCTCAACTCTCGGAAAATTGACTCGGAAAATTGTACTTGGAGAATTGAAAGTAAGAATGCCTAAGTTTCTAGATACGGGAAATTACTGTCAAAAGTGATCATCTCAGCTTTAATACAGGCATAGATTCTTAAGCTTTTATCTTCTTTTGGAGGAAGTTTTCCACATACTTTTTATGTTATTTTTTGGAAGCAGGTGAATAGAATAAAAAACACTTTATTTACATGTAGTGAAGATGATGAACTAAAGATCGTTTTTGGGGGAAATGTTAGTACACTTGGAAATCACCTGGTTGAATTATTCAAGGAACAAGAACTCGCTGAAGTTTAGTTGGAAATTTCAGCGAATATGAAATTTATAAAGGATTAAATGTAGCCAAGCCAAGCTAAGACTTGTAATTACTGTAAAAGTAAATGCAGATATGGAAATTCGGAAAGACAGGAGCTACGATATACAAAACAGTCAAAAGTTTATAAAAACAGTCAAAAGTACGGTTGAACCAAACGAGAAACAAAATCGCTCATTTCATAGTCAGACCTCGCTTATGTTACAGTACTCCAACATGACAGCTCTAGGTTAGTTGTAAGCTAATTATTAAGCTTACAACTAAGTACTTGGAAGTTTGTAAGCTTACGCTAAGCTAGACTTAAACAATGGGTGCTACTGCGTTTTAGTTTGACTCGTAATCAGCTAAATCTTTGTCTTGAAATCCGAAAGCGTAACTTAAGCCATCACTGTTAACAGCTTAAGTTAGTACTGCAAGCGGGCTCATAGACAGAGTTCAAAGACACTCCAACTAGACTTGACTATCGAGAGTTTATCGATATCGATATCGAGATCTCGATAAGTTTTCCAAAATCTTTAAAAATCGTAAAACCCGGTTCTGGGATATTGACAGTATTTTGTGCATCGAATTACCACGAAATAAGCCTAAGTTAAAAGGATTTGACGGAGAATCAACTAAAGTTTTACTATTATCGATAAGCTTATTGAGAAAGCTTATCGAGATCTCGACATCGATAATCTCGATAAGTCTCGATAGTCTCGATAAGAACCTATCGAGATCTCGATAGTCAAGTCTAGTTCCAACTAAAAGCCAGTGTATTTGGGTGAAGAACTGAAGCTGAATGGCCAAGTCTACCAACCAAACTTCTTAAATAGACATTTTGTGTCCATAAATAAGTCCCAAACCGATCTTGATGTTCACCTGATATTTTGGAATCGAAATAACTCCCTTGGGAATCCCATCATTCGGCAGGGATAAACGAAAGAAAAGTTCACTCTCCGACTCGACGAATAAACCAAAATTGAATAAAAAGATATCGTTTTTGGCTTAAATTTTGAAAAACAGGAAACTTTAGTCTTCAAGTTTAGTTTTGGCATGAAACAAGAACATTTGCTTTCAGCTTCAATGCGTAGTTTGTTGAGGAAGCGTCAAAGTTGACACTCAAAAGGCAGGCAAAATAATTGGAAAGAAATAGGTAATAATAAATAGCTTTTTTTGCTAAATTTTCGAAAAAACGTCACTTAATCCCACTTTTTTTAATTTAAACGTTTCTCTTTTTCTCGAGGAAGAGCGTTTGATGAAAGTGCAACACTTGACTTGTTTTTTTTGGTTGTCGGAGAAATTAGTTCAGTCATTTGAGAGTTTTGTTTATGATTTCGGGTGTACATTTGTTAGATAGACTCGAAAAATTTATATTTTTCTTCTTTGGGATGGCTTTTTTCTTGTATTAAAAACGGAACAAATTGAAATCTAGCAGTCCTGTTTTTCCAATCTAGTTTTTCCATTTTTGCATACATTTACACAATCAAGATTGGTTAATTTTTGAATATTCATATTTTTCATTCCAACTTTATCAAGTTTAACGCATTATCTTTTGATTCAAAGTTTGTACTATGGAAATTGTCATTCAAACTTGTTCATTCAAACTTGTTCATCCAATCCAATCCAATAAGGAATATTGTTAAATCAAGATCAAGTTTTTAAATGAGACATCCTATAGTCTTCTATAGACTTCTATAGTCTTCTATAGACTTCTATAGACTTCTATAGTCTTCTATAGACTTCTATAGACTTCTATAGTCTTCTATAGACTTCGATCTGAAAGAGTTTTCATTGGGTTTCTGAATCCGATTACCGGCAAAACTAGACAACTTAATGCTGGCTAACTTTTTGATTTGAAACGTGCTATCTTGAATTATCTACAGTCTTATGGACAGACGTGGATCGGATCAGTTCGGACGAAGACTTGTGGCACAGATCTATAAAATGGGACAGAACTGTTTAAACTTTCTATCAAACGGATCAATACCTCTATGTATCTTCGTATCTCAACTTTGCTATCTTTGAATCAAACCCTCTTGTTCGATATTTCGTTTCTCCATCTTTTTTTGTCTGTGTGCAATCGGAGGCTCAGTTGTCGCAAGTTGTTTTTGCCTCACTGATCGGAGAGTCTTTTTTTCTTTTTCCAACTCTAGTCCCTGGAATGAGCCAAGTAAACAGACCGAATCAGCTAGCTTTTCCACTCGTTTCTCTTCAACTAACAATTTCATTACCGACATCAATCAGATTTAATGTCTCAAATAGAAAAGTAGTGTTTTTGTAACGGAAAATGTTACTTTCACTTACTTTTAAAATTTACACTTTGTCGAAATTAGTTGGAACTTTTCATATTTCATACTTTTATAACAACTTTCATATTTTTATTTAATTATAAAACGTGTGGGGGTTCAGTTGGTTATTCCAGAATAAAGCTGACAACTTCGACTCATTCTTTGTGCTCCGACAAACGCACGCTTCTGGCCCACAAGCAAATTGCCATCTTGAAAGTGAGAAGTGGGCCAATTTTGTGTAAATTGCCACGAAACAATGGAAATTCTATCACAAAGGACCAGAAAATCCACAACTACAAATAATTCTTTTTTCGGGACAATAAAATACTCTTTGTTGCCATTGAAAATATCCATTTTTGTTGATAAACAGCACTCCGTTCCCCTTTTCATTGACCCACGCGCGGCTTCTCTCTTCATATGTGTGGATCAATGGTTTGTGCCAGCCAGCCACGCGGGCCCCCTCTCTGCACTTTTCTCCGTGCTATTTTCAACCCTTTCCCCATCCCAATCTTTCCCTTTTTTCTTTCCTTAGCACCTCTCTGAAACATTTTCCAATTTGTTGATAAGCTTGTCTCGTAAAGTAATTTCGAGGCTTTTTCGATTTTGCTGCATTTTTGAGCATTATTTTTGTTACAAAATCTATCGTTTGCGGATATTTTTAAAATTTCATCATGGAATTTTCCAAAAATAGGAATGTTGTTGTTGATATCTGTCAATTTTATAATTTAAAGAAGCTCAAGAACTGAAGAACTCAATCCTGGCGCAAAAAGCATCCTAAATTTGAGTTCACTTTATCATTTACATCAACTTTTCTCTAGAAATCTATTAAAATCAAGATTTTTTTACATTAACAAACCCTTTGCTAAAATTTTGGCCAAAGCAGATCCAATCAAGCAGTTTCCAAGTCTTAAGAAATCCAATTTCCGCTCGATTTCCCTACCCCCTACTCACAAAATCAAAAGCTGTCAATGCATCTTGATCATAGCTCAACATTTCCCCATTTCCCCCTTCTCACTTTGCAGTCTTCCACGAATAGCCGACTGCTTTTCGGGCGTTTTTCTTCTTTTGTGAGATGGACTTTGTAAAGTGGACCTCCGACTGGCCATAGCCTTTCCTTCTTGCTTTTTTTCCCTCCATCCGATCAGTCCACCCTCGAAAATTCTCCCCCGGCAGTTGGCCCACCAAACAACAGAAAAATATCTGTCGATTTCAACAGAAATCTTTACTTTGCTTAAATTGCTTTAATCAATAGTCGCTTCCAAATTTGCTCCATTGGCTCCATTTGTTGTTAAAAATATTTAATTAAACTGAATAGTTCTTTAATTTTGTGGCTTTTTTCTGTTTGCTGTAAATTTTTACAAATCATTTCCAAATTTTTCATTTTGAATCGTGGCTTTTCCCCTTTTCGCACACTTTTTTTTTGGTTTACCCCATTCAAACCATCGAAGAATTACTTTTTGACAGTGTAAACTGGAAATAAGAGTCAATTTTAGCCATGATATTTTCCATCACAGAATATCTTCGTTTAGGATCGAAATTTGTCCATTTATTCCGTTTTTTCGTTTCATTTGTTGTTAACACAATTCATAACTTTTTTCTTTAGGAGAATGGCATTCGCGAGCCTCGCAACGAACACGACAGAAGCTTTCGTCACACTCGCCACAAACGATGACTACTCGCTCGGTGCCCTCGTTCTTGGATACTCGCTTCGAGAGGCAACCACCAGCAAGAAACTTCACTGCATGATTACAGAACAGGTTGGAGCTTCTTGTAGATTCGTGTGCTAAAGAAACGTTTGGGAACTTGGGAAATTTTTGAGCTTTGCCGGACAGGTCCGTTATTACTGTTGCCTTAAACAACAAAACGCTAAAAAGTTGACTTTTTAAATAGTCCACTTTTGTAAGGCTTTTCTAATCATCTTAAGGCTTTGAATTGGTTATAAACATAGTAAATGGCTATCTTATAAACAATTTCTCGAGGAAATGGTGAAGATTTGATGATCTTTGAAACGATTAAACGAAAAGCCGTTTGTTACTCTTACAACTAGTTAGCATTGGTCAAATAGCAAGTTCCTGATCTAAATTCAATGCGAAGGAAAGTCAAGAACTTTTTAGCTGTTCAGTACTAAATCCTTATTTTTAGGTTACGACTCCTGTGCGCGAACAACTTCAACGGGTTTATGACGATGTCTCGATTGTCGACGTGTTGGCCAGCAACGACGAAGCAAATTTGGCATTGATTGGACGTCCGGACTTGGCTCTCGCCTTTACCAAGCTCAATTGCTGGCGACTTACGCAGTACTCGAAAGCCGTATTTTTGGATGCTGATACCTTGGTGAGTCTGCTTTCTTTTTTTTAGTGATTCTTTCATTTAGGTTTTGAGAAATGTTGACGAGCTTTTTTGAGCGAGAGGAATTTTCGGCCGCACCCGACATTGGATGGCCCGACTTCTTCAACTCTGGTGTTTTCGTGTATCGGCCAAATGAGGAGACATACCGTAAGCTTTAGGCAGCTTGAAGAAATGCAGCTGAAAGTGTTACGGAAAATCGTTGGATGAAGCATCTTTATGATATGTTAACTAATTTAGTATTTGTATGGATCATGAACCGTCTAACTTGAGCTAAATGACTACAATCTTTGTTTCTTTTTATTGGTCATCGATAACTTTTGATATTGAGGAGCCCTTTTGCACAAGGCGACTACTGAAGGATCGTTTGATGGTGCGGATCAAGGACTTCTCAACTCGTTCTTCTCTGGATGGCGAGAGGCGTCTTCGGCGTTCCGACTCTCTTTCATCTACAATGTGACTGGCGGAATCTTCTACACATATGCTGCTGCTTACAAAAAGTAACTGTTTTATTCCTTTCTTATGGAATGCTTTCTTTTAGACTTCGGGATCAAGTCAAAATCGTCCATTTCATCGGCACGCAGAAGCCCTGGCGAGGAGGCGTCGGCATCCAAATGCCCGAATTCGCTCAAATTTGGCATCGGATCTACGAGCGTCATGTGGCAGGAACTGTCCCCGGATCATCTGGAACGGTACGTTTAAGAGTTTTGTGTGGTTTTTTGTTCAGAAGTTGAGGTGTGAGTCTGTAGTCGTGATAGTTGCATGAGAAATTTCATTTTGCATGTCAGTTCGAGTGTGTGTTGTTCCAGGGGTCGCAAGATGCCCATTCGATCGGCGCCTCTCCAACTCTGGTTGCCTTGCCCAAAGAGGTGCAAGTAAGTTGTGTGCTGCACAACCAAGCACCGCCAACTCTTCACGTTGATGCAAGCCCGTCCCGAATCGTCGTTTCACTTGAATCATCCCCAATTGTTGTGCATAAAGGCTCTTCTATCCCCATCTCTTCAGCAAATCCTCCCCATTTGCAGGCGTTGCCTTCAACTAACCCCGAACCGGCTCAATCCGACCAAACAGTGCCTGTTTGCCGAAAAGAGATCGAACAAGTGCGTGATTCTTTAATCGCTTGTAATTTGAACCCTAATGAGGATTAAAGTGTTAAGCATGGAGACTTTTATAACGATGTGAGCTTAACTTTCCCATAGCTTTGCGATATCACCTAATGACTAATAATTTTTATGCACAAATAACTATTTTGGTTTAGGAAACGATAGCAGAGAGCCGCAGTCGATGGGAGCAAGGACGACCCGATTTCACTGGCAAGGATGCTTTTGCCGAGATTCAAGAGGCCCTCATGAAAAATCTCCAGTAAATGGCTCGAATGCCCTCAACTTCTGTATTTTACTGTGCCATTGTTTGCTCATGTTGTTATTTCTAAATTAAGTGTTTAGTTTTTGAATCCTTTTTTGTTTTTGAGACCCTCTAGAGTGAATCAAATTTTCATTTTGCTTTGTCATTGGAGCTGTTTAGTTTTTGTTTGTACGGTAACTGGTTGAGCCTTTGCTCAATTTTCCGGTGCTTTAAAGTTTTATACCTTTTAAAATATAGTTTTAATAAATGTTATTACAAAATGACAATAAATGAATGTAGAGAATGAGCAAAAAAGAAAGTTATTTGAAGTGTTAGAAACATGGCAAGCTGGAAAATTTGTTTAATGGCTTGGAGCAGAACTAAGTTACAAATCTTTTCAAATGAAATCATCGTTTGAAAAAGCAAGCAAGCATACAACTCGAGCAATTCCAAGGATCACTTATAAACCAGGTGGCTCCAGCTAAATGTATCATGCAAACAATTTCACTATTTTTCACAAGTCCTCTAAAATAAAAATCTGGTGAACGGTCTGATGTTGCCGGATTCCTCCGTTAGGCCTGTATCTTCAATCACCGCTTTTTTTTATTGGAATAATCTCACCAAACTTTTCAATAAAGAACTGCAATAAATAAAGAAGCATTGGCTACAGACGAATTTTCGGGAATAGATACAAGATTGTTTCTCAAAATACAAACTATACTTTCAAATCTCGATCCAAGCAGTACAAAGTTGTTCTCCGAAACAACGGGTTCAGTTTCAATGAAAAGAGCCGGTAATGGAAATTGAGTTGGGAAAACCTTCTCGAGAAAGGATTCGATGAATATTTTGTAGAAAAAGTGGCCAACGATTTCGAGATGAGCCGGAAACTATGTCGGGAATCAAAAAATCTCCTTTCCTCACGCACAATTGATGGAGTTCGATTTTCTCGTGATTCATTGTACCTCGCCATTGAATATTTTGACATTTTATAGAAAAATAGATGTACAGGGTTGGGCAAAATTATCCGGAAACCTTTTTGGAAAAGCTATCACACACTTAATTTTTCCCAAAATTTCAAGTGTTTTATAGATAATTGTAGCCCTTAATCTTAGCTACATTTATCTACTAAAAACTTCTCAATCGGATGTTTACAACTCATTTATCAAGCCCTTGAATGAGCACTTGTCGATCCCTACCCGGTGCAATGCCATTTTTGACGATTTTCTACGTAAAAAAATTGTTCGAAAAAGCTTTTGCCAACATTTATTTTATGCAAAAATATCATTTAACACCATTAATAATATTAAAGATAACTTTCAACTGTTTTGGCTAACCTGTTATAACCAAAATCAAGCTGGTGACTAGCTTTTTTTGAAGACGCAGGGCAAAAGGTGAAATTTGATCATTTTTCGATATTTAGTTCACATGAGTTTCTCGTTATATTAGCTATAGGAATAGCGCTATAAAATTGTTGGAAATAATCTTTTAAACAAATTATACACAGAGTTCCCTAAATAAAGTTCTTTTTTAGATCATTTTTAGGTAGAGAATCGTCAAAAATGCCAGCGCGCCGGTTAGGAATCGACTAGTGCTCATTGAAGTGCTCATAAAATTAGTTGTATATCTCGAATCGGGAAACTTTTTAGCAGATAAATGTAGCTAAGATTAAGGACTACAATTTCCTATATAACACTTGATGCTTTGAAATAAATTAAGCGTGCGAGGACTACTTTTCAAAAAAGTTTTCCGGGTGGTTTTGCCTAAACCTGTACAAATCAAATATGCATTACATTGCTTTTATGCTTTTACTTGCTAAAATTACTGCCAAAATTACGTTTACTTGCTACATTGCTAAAATGCTTTTACGGAATATTAGCTATAGGAATAGCGCTATAAAATTGTTGGAAATAATCTTTTAAACAAAATTTTTATTTAGAAAAATCTAGTAAAAAACTAGTGAACGGTCTGAAGTGTGTTACTGGATTCAAAAATGGCAGCGCGCTGCCATTTTGCGCTGCAGCGCGCCAGATACTTTGAAATAACTGGATCAATACTTTGAAATAAATTAAGCGTGCGATAACCACTTTCCAAAAATGTTGTCCGGGTAATTTTGCCCAACCCTGTAATTTGAAGAATTTGGATAGTGCAAATCAATTACTCTTTGGCACACACAAAAAAAAAGTCAGTTCAGCAGTCAGCCCAGAATTTGTAGTGGCTCCTGGTGATTATGGTGGTGCCAAAGTGAATATTTTGGGCGGGCAAATTTCTCATATTTTTTCACTTTGTCCCGATTTCATGACTCCCGATTACATGAAAATTTCTAAGCCACCATGGCGCTACCAGGCCACCACCAAAGGCCCACCACCAAAGGCCCCCCAAAAGACCCCCCAAAGGCCCACCACCAAGGCCCCACCCACCCAACCACCCCAACCCACAAACCCACCACGCCCACCAAAGCCCCCCAATGGCCCACCACCAAATGGCCCACCACCAAATGGCCCACCACCAAATGGCCCACCACCAAATGGCCCACCACCAAATGGCCCACCACCAAATGGCCCACCACCAAATGGCCCACCACCATGAGGCTTTTGCCATAAAATTAAAACTTTCTACTGGCGTCGTGGTGCATAATAAACACTATCAGGATAACTAAAAATTTAAACCATACATTTTATTGATCAGCGTTTCCTTGGAAAAACAGGGGACTTCTTTAAAAAAAGGAGAGTTGAAAATCTTTTATATACGACAGATTATCATTTAAAGTGGATTGATAAAGTGTTTATCCATCTACATTATATGATAATCTGTGATTAGTTAAAAAACTTTGTCTATGACAACTCTAATATGACACCACGATCCCAGTAAAAAGTTTTAATTTTTTGGTAAAAGTCTCATGGTTGTGGCTCCCAAATTGCCAGCTTTTCAGATTCAAGAGAATATTTAAGTTATTGAAATCATTTAAGTTATTGAAATTGAGAAAGAAGCGATTGGCTGACCACGGTAAAGTGACAAGCTGAAACACACGAGGTTTCAAGCTGCAGTTGGTTATCAAAAACTTAACAAGTTCACAAAAAGAGCAAAACGATTAGACTTGTTGATTTTCTAAAAAAGATTAACGTTAAATTAAACCAGATTCAGGCTCTTCAATAACAAACAAACCATAAAGACGAGAAAACCATAGAAAGTCGTGAAACACTCGAATGCATTTCCACTTCTTCTTTCCCAATATCCCACAATATCCCGCGGGTGAGCATCACGGTGAGAATGTTTGCTAAAAACCTTAGTGACTAGTTGGATACACCGGTGCTTTTATGGGTCGGCGCCGGAATTCGAACCCACGACCGCTCACTTACCAGGCGAACGCTCTACCAATGAGCTACACCGATCCCATTGCAATGGGCACATTGCGTTATGCCAAGGCAATGCATTGCCTTATGCCTTACTGACTAGTCGCTAATGACAATGAATATATGAGAGAAGATTCTTGTCACTTTTTTTTGTTGACATTAAATTTAGAAATCTTTTCGCAAAGATTGAGAGTGGGGGAGATCTTTTTACGATAACGGCGTTTCACTCTTCTGTCCCCCGCTTCCCTTCTGTCCCCCAAGCATCTAAAAGATTTCTCTTTAATATTTGAACCCATCTTTCAATCAACTTTGTAAGGATTTGCAGTGCTAATTCCCATAGCTATCATCAAGGCCATTTCAGTGAGTAGGGGAGAGGAATGGGAAAGAGAATAGACAAGAATAGAAAAGGCTGTTGAACTTATGATGGCTATGAGAAAAATTCCGTAACTTTTCTCACTACCCGAGTCGGGTCAATAGCTGCGGGCACAAAAGGAGATATGTAGAGATCGGTGTGGCGATCGGATCAAGGCCATTTCAGTGAGTAGGGGAGGGGAATGGGAAAGAGAATAGACAAGAAAGGGTCACTCACACATCGATTCCCTTGCCTGTGTCTGTGTTGGATGTGTTTCCCCCGCCGCTGAACCTCTCGACTTTTTCAGTCTCCCCTTTCTCTATCCTTAAAAATGAGTGACACGTGGTTCTCCCGTAAATGGAACGTTTTTTGGGTTTTGTCCATTTTACTCAATTCTTCTCTTCTTGTAGTCTACTTTGGGTCTTTGGGACTGTGAAAGTTGACAGTTTTTGATTCTTTACAACCTTATCCTTTCTGTATCATTTCTCATTGTACAGAAATTTCCATGCTTTGTTAATGTATTCCATTCTTTAAGTGCTAAAGCCTTAAAATCTAGGCATCTTTGTCAATTTTTCAAACATTACAACAACGTTCAAACATTGTATAGTATGTTTCTCTAGTTGTAAGTAACTTTTGGCACATTAATCCTCAATGAGTTAAACGGCTGGATGTCTTTAAAAGGAAGCGTATATAAGGCAGCATATATAAGACGGCGTATATAAGGCAACGTAGATAAAGCAGCGTATATAAGGCAACGTATATAAGACGGCGTATATAAGGCAACGTATATAAAGCAGCGTATATAAGGCAACGTATATAAGGCAGCGTATATAAGGCGCCGTATATAAGGCGCGTATATAAGGCAGCGTATATAAGGCAGCGTATATAAGGCGCGTATATAAGGGGTATATAAGGCGCGTATATGCCGGGAGCGTGGCAGAGGTAGGAAAGGCGGTTATAAGGCAAGGTATAAAGGCACGTAAAAAGGCGCGTATATAAGGGGTATATAATGCAGCTATATAAGGGCGTATATAAGCAGCGTATATAAGTCGGCGTATATAAGGCAACGTATATAAGGCAGCGTATATAAGGCGGGGGCCTATATAAGGCAGCGTATATAAGCGCTTTAAAGGCAGCGTATAGGGCGTATATAAGGCAGCCTATATAAGGCAGCGTGTATAAGGCAACGTATATAAGGCAACGTATATAAGGCAACGTATATAAGGCAGCGTATATAAGGCAGTGTATATAAGGCAGCCTATATAAGGCAGCGTATATAAGGCAGCGTATATAAGGCAGCGTATATAATGCAGCCTATATAAGGCAGCGTATATAAGGCAGCGTATATAAGTCGGCGTATATAAGGCGTATCACAAGGCTCAGCCAATAATACACAAAATTGGGCTAGTTCAAACTAAACTGGAGCATTGATTACGGTAGTTCTCTTTCATTGTTTTATGCATTATTTGAGATAAATGCACTCAATTCGTTTTATGCAATCATTTACTTTTTAAACCTTTTCGACTACCGTAGTCACCTGTAGACTTTCAAATCGCAGAGTCTCATTGTTCTCAGAAACACACTCTATCAAACATTTTTCAATTTTTCCTCCAGATCAATGATCTCAACCTTGTGGCTGACGCTCGATGCGGTCGGCTCGTTTCTGCTCGGTCTCGTCCTCTTCACCGTCCCACATATTGCCGGGAATTTCATCTTTGTATGTGATTTAACTAGAATCACTATAGCAGAGTATAAAATTGTGCATTTTTGCAAATTGTGCAATTCTTTGCAAAAACAAAGCCTTCTAGCAACGGGAAACTGATGGCGTGCATTGGCATTTGATTCGTTGTGTTGGAGGACAATTCATGGCTGCCGCGTTGGCCTCGTATTTGTTGAAGAACTCGAATAAGGTTTGAATAAAAATAGATTGTCGAAAAGCCGTTGATTTTCACAACCACTAGAAGGTGCGCTTAAGAAAAATGATCGTAATTTCATTTTTGGTACAATCAATGATCAATTTCACTTTAAGCTGTTCCAGTTTATCACCGAAGTTTTAAAGTCAAGCCTGGTTGGCTTTGGGAAAATTCGCTAAAGGACAGTAGCTTCTTCTTTTAGAAAACGTTTCATTTAGGGCACACAGCAAAAAGCTTTACTCATTTTCACACCTTAAGTGCAAATTTCAGGTCACTCACACCGTGTGCTACATCATGAGGATAGTGGTGGGTCGTTTTGGTCGTTTCAACGAGAAATTTGTTCATTTTCTCACTATAATGAACTTTAGAGTTTCCGGTTATTGAATTTACTACGTAAAACAAATAAACGCTTAAACGAAAACTACAGGTTGTTCAATATTTATGGAGGCCAATAGATCACCAATAGATCACCAATAGATCACCAATAGATCACCAATAGATCACTGGCTTTAAAGCTCGTTTTGTACAAATCGAATGTTAAAAAAGAAAAGAAAGAGATCAAGTACATATATACTTGAACAAGTTTAAGTCACTTTATTTCAAAATGATTGCCTTTCGTGTTGATGTTTGTCTAGAAACTCGCGTGGAAAGCGCTCACTTAGGTAACTTATCAAACTTATCAAAATGCTTGCCTTTCTTGTTGATGTTTGTCTAGAAACTCGCGTGAAAGCGCTCGCTCAGGTAGGGTACATCGAGCTTGTCACAAACTTATAAAGAAGTGAAGGAATTGGCAAGAAAAAGTAGATTTCCGGAGATGAGATTCAGCTCTCGACCTTTTGCTTTCCGCGCAGCGTTTTGCTTTTGCTCTAACTACTGAGCTATCCGGTACCTTAACTTGCCTAGGGAAAGAGGGAAGAGAGGGGGAAAGAAAGAAAGAAAGAAAGAAAGAAAGGAAGAAAGAAAGAAACAAATTGAGTAAACAGTAAAGGTAAATGAGCATTTCATGTTTTTCCCAACTCTGTAATTCAACTTTTTTAATGATTTCTTCATACCCGGATTCTGAAAGCGCTAAACAATCTGCAAACTCAAAAGTGCTCTTAAATATTGAACACCCTTTATTTCAACGTACGATTATTCTTTAGGCCTACATTTTGCTGTTGTTGCTCCACTTTGAGACCCGTTCCGTCAATCCAAAACTCGTCAACCAGCAGGTAAGAGAAAATTTTGAGCACTTTGATTTGTCTCTTAGTCAGGGCGTGCTTTTTTTTGTTTCCATGCCCCTGGGAACAAATAAAATGCGACAGACAGACAAAGCACACGGCTCAGATTTTAACTGTGAAATACCTTTTACTAAAAAACTTTTCAAATTACCATTGATTCCAGATAATGGATGTGGTGAAGTACGGTTGTTTCTCGGGCGTTTTCCTCAACATTTTGATGTTGCTCGGAAATGGATGGCCGATTGGTGAGTGGGGTGATAAATAGTTATATAAATGGGTACCAAATAGGTACCAAAGAGGTGCCAAATTGGTACCAAATGGGTACCAAATGGGTACCAAATGGGTACTAGATAGTTATGTAAATGGGTGCCAAATAGGTAGCAAATAGGAACCAAATAGGAACCAAATAGGAACCAAATAGGTACTAAATAGTTATACAGGGTGCGGCAAAAGTTTGCAGCCGCTTCTTAAGATAGTTAAAGGTTTAAAAACTAGCTTTAAAAAGTTAAAAATTAATAACAAATTCTTTATTCGAAACATGACAACAAATAACTTATAACAAATGCTCGAAATTTCCACCATTCGCTTCGATACACCTCTTTAAACGCTTTAAGAAGTTCCTCACGATGGTGGCGCACGCTTAAACAGTTATTTCATCCCAGACTCGTTTCAGAGCAGATTTTAAAGCATCCACTGTTTGATACGTCTTCATAGAGATCTTGCCTTCCAAAATAGCCCAAACGGAGTAATCGAGGGGATTAAGATCTGGCGAATTTGAAGGCCAAATCGTCTTATCCCAAAAGTCTGGAAACAAATGAGCGCAAACGTTGAGAGTTGAGTGAGCACCATGTTTTCATAGCGGTTTTTTCCACCAATGTTTTCATAGCGGCTCCGAACTTTTGCCGCACCCTGTATAAATGGGTACCAAATAGGTACCAAATAGGTACCAAATCGGAACCAAATCGGTACCAAATAGGTACCAAATAGAAACCAATAGAAACCAAATAAGTACCAAATACAAATAAGTTTATCAACTTTTACAAATCCTCCTGAAAATTGTTTTGATCTTTAGCAAATTTTGGCTTCGAGAATCTCCGTAAAGGTATTTGCATGTATCGCTTTCAGATTCGAGATTTGAACTAAACTTTTCTCAAATCAAGAACAAAATTTAGCTAACAATTTGATACTGGAGAACCGAGTGGGCAATTGTTTATACCAATTGGACAGTATCGCGTCGATTTGCATTGGAAGCGCCTGGTTGGCTTTCCCGAAATGGCTCCTCCATCGACAAGTGAGTTTAGAAAGTCGGGAAATGATTTAAATGCAATTAGATTGAGTAAATGCAATTAGATTATATAGAAATACGGCTGAGAATCTAAGAAAACCCTCAATATTTTTCAAGTTTAGGTGAACGTCGCGCTGGACGCGAGCCACGAGTTGTGCGGTCGAGTGATGGGCGCACTCTTCGTCTGCTCGTTCTGTGTGGCACAGGTTAATGCATAGAAAACGATAACAATAGTGGGAGTGAAATTTAGGGGCAAGAGTGCCGTGAAGAACTTTATAACAAAGCTGTTTTAGTATGCCCTTCACTGGCCGACGTCTCAGGACCGCAAGGTTGCCATTCGGTGTCGTGTTTTGGTGAGCTTACTGACATTTGCTTATCCTTTAGCTTATCAGAAAGAGCTAAACTAAAGTCAAGACTATGCGATGGCTTTGGCTTTGCAAAACTGTTTCATGCTCAGGCTCAGGCTTAGGCTTAGGCTCAGGCTTAGGCTCAGGCTCAGGCTTAGGCTTAGGCTTAGGTGAGAATGCCGCATAAAACTATTGGGTGAAATGCAGACGAAAAGCCTAATAGAGTGTGTTCCTTTCGAGTAAGTACTTGAGTCAAATTTGCATAAGTAATTTTTACTAGATTAATCGACGTCTTTTATCGGGTAACTACGAGCAATCCTTTTTACGCGTCGAGTAAATTGAATATCTTTACATTGAAGGGAATTTGCCACCAAATCAGTTAAACGGCTGAACATCTTTAAAAAGAGGCGTATATAAGGCGGCGCGGCGCCTTCTATTCGACTAGTCGCCTTATATACGACCGGCCGCCTTATATACGACCGGCCGCCTTATATACGACCGGCCGCCCTGTATACGGCCGCCCGCCTTATATACGATCGACCGCTTTATATATAACCGGCCGCTTTAAATAAGACCGGCCGCCTTATACACGACCGGCCGCCTTATATACCACTGGCCGCCTTATATACGACCGGCCGCCTTATATACGATCGGCCGCCTTATATACCACTGGCCGCCTTATATACGACCGGCCGGCTTATATACGACCGGCCGCCTTATATACAACCGACCGCCTTATATACGAAAATCACGAGCGCTGCGACGTTCGTGATTCTTTCGCGCAAATGTTTTGCTATAATTTTCGCTAAAAGTACGGCAATTTTTCCCAAGTGTGCGTTTTAAAAAACGCATTACTCGCGAGGAAAATACTCTAATGGCTAATCCATGTAAATTTCTCCACCAGATTTGTGTTGGTTTTCCGGATCTAATTTCTGTTTGGTTAGAATGAAAAGTTATAAGATTAAGCTAATTTTTTAAGAAGAATTTTTTTAAGAGCTAAGCTAAGCGCAACTTTTTTTATTTGACATAAAATGAGCAAAACTCTTCAATCCTGCGAATCAACTCAACTTTGATGTTCGATTGAGCCAAATTTAGCTCGATTTCGATTTATTAACGCGATACTTTTTAAGCAATTGAGGCGTTTCTATTCAAAGATTTCAATGTATTTTTATGAATACTTTTTTGAGTTTTGAGAATAATTTGAAGCGATAAAGCCTGGGATTTCTTAATGAATTAGTTTTTCATTGAAAAAGGGCATGAGGATTATGATTGCTTACCGTAAATACCTGTAATAGTACCCTATTACTCTGAAATTTTGCCTAGAAGCTGTCGATTTCTATCTGTAGAAAAAATCTCAGAGCAATCGGTCAAGCAACGGCCAAGAAAACGAACATGGAATTACCGTAAATACTATAATAGTACCCCACCGCCCTCGTACAGTCGCGTAGTCGCAAACGTTTTCGAGTATTTCATTTTTTTCAAAGCGCTCGTACTTTCAAAAAATGCGTATTTGGTATCAAAAAATAGGTGAAATTCAGGGCTATTTTTTGATATCTAAGCGAACATTGTAGCATAAACCAGTGTCGAGAAAAACTCGTTCAAAACTAGACTACGCAACACTCCGCACCGTCATTATGGGGATGGGGTACTATTACAGTATTTACGGTAGTTTGTTCGACAGCTGGAAAATGGTCAAAAACTTTTCATAACTTTTCACTAGCAACATATCATAAAAAAAACTTTTTGAAAGCTGCTGATTGGTTGGGGAAATCTGGAAAAATTTAGCCATTTCATCTGCGTTTTGCCAACATTTTCAATATTTCAGTGCTGCGCCGCGATTCTCTCGGCTCAAGTGTGGTCCCAGTGGAAATACCCGCGTGATTGGTCGGAAGGTCACTGGGTGGGCATCTCGTTGTACTCGATCTGGACCGGGATCGCATTTCTTTATCTCATCTTTATCGAGTTTTTTGCCAAGAAGGGAAACAGCCAGCCGGGTAAAAAGAAGAATTAGATTTTTATTGAAAATTGAAAGCACGATTCCTAAGCTTTTATCTTGCACTCAAGCTCATTCTTGTGCGAGAATTTAATCAGTGAACCCAGGTCAAATTTTCATCAGGACTTCTCTATTTTCTTGATTTTCTATATCTTCTTTTGTATTTTCTATAGTTTCTATACTTTCTATAGTTTCTATACTTTCTATAGTTTCTATACTTTCTTCTATAATTTCTATGCTTTCTATTTTTTCTTCTATGTCTTTTCTTCTATATTTTCTTCTATATTTCCTTTTATCTTTTCAGTTTCCAATTTCAATCCAATCCAATCCAATTCTCATTCGCTAGATTGAAAAGATTCAAATACCTTTTTAATGTGCCTAAAATCTGTGCTACTTTTTGATAAATTCTGTGATTTTTCCCATCCTAAACTCATCTAAACTCATCTAAACTCATTCTCTCAAATCTTTCTTTTGTGCAATGAGAAATCTCTTTGTTCTTTTGTTTATTCCATTTTTGTACACTTCAAATATTGTGCAAAAGAGTAAAAAGTGAAAAAATGAGACCCCATTTGAGGGACTGAGATGTCGATGAGCTGAGCAATTTCATGGAGAAAAATTTGGTGAGAAAATTTTTGCGATCTTCGGGTTTTGCGTCGGGTTTTTGAGTGGTTGATGTAAATGAAACGGTTGAGAAATCAAAGAAAGCGGTGAATGGACGAACGGTGATCAAATCGACTTCGACCGTGGTTGGCTCGGAGTTGGACGGGCTTTCTGGAAAGGCTTTTTCTTTTGAAAGATCATTGATAGAGCTTTTTAAAGTTTATCATGCATCGCCAGCTTTAATACACTTTGAATTCTTTAATTCTTTAATTCTTTAATTCTTTAATTCTTTAATTCTTTAATTCTTTAAATTCTTTAATTCTTTAAATTCTTTAATTCTTTAATTCTTCAATTCTTAAGGCTTAACTTAAAAACAACAATAACAAAGTCTCAGAGTCAACAAAGTCTCAGAGACAAAACTCACCGGTGGGCACTTCTCGCAACACTGGAATCTGGTGTACAATTTGAGAGTCGGCCGAGCGATGAGGCGTTGATTTTAACGGAAGACCTTCATTCTAAACTGGGTTCATTCTAAACTTCATTCTACAGTTTCCAGTTGTGAAGTTCCAGTTGTAAAGGCAAGTTTCCAAATCAAGGCCGAACATGAACCAGGCCAAATACACAAGCCGAGTCAAGTCAAGTCAAGAAACAAACAAGTCCAGCTAAAAGCCAAAAGCCTAATGTACTAAAAAGTTCCTGTCTAAGCACTAGTGTGTGTTTGGATCAAGACTTTCAGTCTTTTGCACCTTATCGACCACCTTACCTTATCGTACAAACTTCTTTGTTTAACCAACCACAATTTACCCGTTACTTGTACTTTTACTTCAACCCAACAGGTCACTTGCACGAGTTCAATAACAGGGCTAAATTGCGGAAAGCACAGCAAAATTCGAGCAAAATCGACCAAGATTTGTTGGCAACAGAATGAAAGCAACAATTGCAACAATTTTACTGATTTAACTTGTATTTAACACTGACTTAAGAGTGAGAAAATGAGCAAATTTAAACAATAAACAGAGTTGGGCAAAGCCTTGCCCAGAGGCTTGTTTGAATGTTATTCGTCAACCGTTTCATAAAAGCTCCTAGATTTCTTTTTCTATTCTTAATTATCCTTTTCTAGTCTTTATGTTGTTTTCCTCGAGTTTTTCAGAAACAAAAAAAGCGCTGAAAAGAGGGAAAATGAAGCTCTGTGCCGGGATGAATGCCAGGATGAATGATCAACTTTACCCCATGCTTTTTGGTTTGAAAGAAAAGCCAACAGATTTTTCCTTTCAGTAATGTCTCAATGGGTTAAGGAATGAAACATATTTATACTATGGAGAAAATTATACGGTTAAGTTGGCTGGCTGGAAAGTTACAGAACTCTTGTTCGGGTAATTTTGCCCAACCATGTATAACAAGATTCAGAAAAAAGGTATCAACTGAGCAAAAAATCGTACTTTTCCTTCGTCGTTTCACGTTTTCTTACTTTGAAACTACTTTGTCTTTGCTGTAAGTTTGTAATCTTGAATGCAAATCGCAGCGGCTGTGCACCCCGCGGTGCTAAACGTTTAGCACACCTAGCTTACAAGCCTAAGGCCTGGCTTACAAGCCTAGGGCCCGGCTTACAAGCCTAGGGCCCGGCTTACAAGCCTAGGGCCCGGCTTACAAGCCTAGGGCCCGGCTTACAAGCCTAGGGCCCGGCTTACAAGCCTAGGGCCCGGCTTACAAGCCTAGAGCCCAGCTTACAAGCCTAGGGCCCGGCTGGAGCAACTCTAATGCAAACGCTTAGTGTGACTCGGAGAAAAGACACAGTTTTCATATGTAAGCCTCTTTTACCCTCTCCTCATCTTCATCATCGTTATTTGTGGTGTGTCCATTAATCCATGATGTGCATCGATTTGGGATCCTCACCCGATTCGAGTTCAATTTCATCAAACGTTCAAACGTTTTCTGTACGGCATCGTCGATTTGCTGTTTGATCTGAAAGTTCGGTGTTGATTTTTTTGAAAAACTATTTGATATTACAGTATTTCACGAAATTTTCTTTCTCTTTAGCTTTCTCAAAGCAATTCTTATGATTTTGAAAACTTTGATAAACTCACCGCATGTCCTGGTTCGGTACAGTTGTGTTTGAGCTTCTGATAGCAACGATGATACTTGTCGAACTGCCTGAATAACTTTTGAACCATTTTTCTGAGATATTTCTTGTGCAGGCTAAAGTCGGAAGTGGGCAGCTTTCTTTAAGTGGATCTAAAACTCTAAAATAAAAGATGGAACCTGCAAAAAATCGTGAACGATGATCGGGGATAGATATTGAGATGACCACAGTGTTTCACTGCTTCTCGCATGTGCTCACTCTCGCATTGCACGTACTCAATTACGGCTAAAACAAGTAGGATAACAAAAAAATTGGATAGCTTTTTTTTAAAATCAACCTTTAGATGATTGCTTGATTAGTGTACAGAAAAGAGTCCAATGAGAGATTGCCTGCAGCCAAGTGTCTCTTTCCGGTGATGAGCCACAACTCGACAAACAGTTGTCAAAGTTGAAAACACTCCTGAAATGGTAGGACTTTAATATGCTGATTGAAAATATGCTGATTGAAGCTTGTGAGCTGTTTATTTTAAGCCTAATGCTAGCTAGAAATGGATTAGAAAAAGCTAAAGTTAGCCAGGATCAAAACAGAGTCAAATATCAAGTCAAATGCGATCAGAGTCGAGGTCAAATGCTTGAGATGACCTGGATATTTCCACGGCCCTGGACCTGGACCTGGACCTGGCCCTGGCCCTGGAACTAGACCTGGCCCTGGAACTAGACCTGGACCTGGACCTGGCCCTGGACCTGGACCTGGACCTGGCCCTGGCCCTGGACCTGGACCTGGACCTGGACCTGGACCTGGACTTGGACCTGGCCCTGGACCTGGCCCTGGCCCTGGAACTAGACCTGGCCCTGGATCTGGCCCTGGACCTGGCCCTGGACCTGGACCTGGCCCTGGACCTGGACCTGGCCCTGGACCTGGACCTGGACCTGGACCTGGACCTGGCCCTGGACCTGGCCAGCTTGGCCCTAGCCTACTATGAGTCCAAAGAGCCAACGATAAGTCTGACTTCTACGCTTGACTTTGCTACTTTTGAACAGCTTTAACTCAAAGAAATTCTTTCATTTCCCAATTCTTTCATTTCCCAACCTGCAAGTGTATTCACTTTTTCTCAACGAATGCCCGGTGTTTTCCGTGTTCGAGAAAATGTGATGAAATGGGGCTAATAGGGAAGAATACGGAGTGGAATGAGTCCCCAATGCGGCCAGCACTCCAGTTCGCAACGATGAGGCGCACTTCTGGGCACAGAATAGCTAAAGATGCAATTGTTGATCGCTTATACATGCTATTGATGCTTAAATGCTTATACATTTCATACTTTTTGCGAAGTTGAGCTTTTGTTTTAAAATATTGACAAAAAACGCTCACCGAATGTTTCTCTCTGAGTTGGATAAAGTCATCAGTCTCCTCCACCTCGACGATTGTCGTCGGATGGCCAAGAGCTGCAAATTTGTTTTATTTGTTTTGTTTGTTTTGTTTATTTTGTTTATTTTATTGTTTTATTTGTTTTATTTGTTTTATTTCTTTGATTTCTTTTATTTCTTTTATTTTTATTGAAAGTTTAACACTCGAAGCTTCATAGTTTCTAAAAGTTGGCGCTGTTAGTATTTTCTGTCAATAGTAAGAGTAGAATTGTCTTTCTTATCGTAAACAGAGTTATTTTAAAAGCAGTTTTTCTGGGCAAGGTCGGAACCAGATCAGAAATCAGCTTCTGGCTTGGTTTTCAGCGTCATTTGTTTGCCTTGACTTGATTCATAATTTCTTGGAACTGACTTCTGGTCTGCCTGGTCAATCTTGGTTTAAAAATCCCTGATCTTAAGATTTGTCTAGAGCAAAAATATTCAAATGTGTCTACTGTTCTATTCCCGTAATTTAGACATAAGCAAATGACGGCAAATGACTATAAACAACAAAAATGACGAACTGTCGCACCACAAACGCTTCTAACTTGCTTCATAACTGTCAGATTGACATGATCTATAGCTCAAAAAATAGAGAACCTCAAGGGCTTTCGAATGGACTAAAGTACATCCAAAAATATCCATGCTAAAGAAAGTTACAGTTGTTTGTAGTCTTGGCTTGAAACGGACCGTACTCACGCGTAGTCAAAGCGATCGAGTCACTGTAACTTTCTTTAGCATTGATATTTTTGAATGTACTTTAGTCCATTCGAAAGCTCTTGAGATTCTCTATTTTTTTGAGCTATAGATCATGTCAATCTGGCAGTTATGAAGCAAGTTAGAAGCGTTTGTGGTGCTCATGTCTACCATAATTGTGCTTTTTTCAAATGACTGTTTAAAACGAGTGTTTTTTTCAACCAATGGTCAACCAATATCACCTGTATCCGATTAGTATTTCAGTAAAGAAAGCATTTGACTATATCTTATTACTTATTGAATTTGGTCAATCTTTTCAAGTCAACTCTTGAATCCATTCAAAGACCACCATTATGAAAACACGCAAAATTGTTGCCGTTATTGTTGTCTATGACTTCTTTGACCAATCGAAAGGCAAAGAAAAGGGAAAAGACTTGGACTTTTGCTTCTCTTGAGCTTCTCTTTGAAGAATTCCTTTCTCTTTTCTTCTATTCTTTTTTGGGTCTCCTTCCGCCAATCGTTCCAAATTGAGGCCGACCGCTCGGCTCGGGGAAAGACCCTTATTTCTTCAACCCGACCGAATGAAGAAAACAAAAGTTTCTCAAAAAAAGAACACAAAAAAAGACCTTTAAAAGAGAACGCGAACAAAATGAATTTAAGTTTCGGAGAAGAATTTGGAAAAGAAATCAGTAGATTGAAGACAAAAGTGACAGCTTAGGCTGAAAAAAACGAGCCTTGGCTAACCAGGGAACCTTCCCCAATTACCCGCGCGTTACAACATGAGGTAGGTGCCAAAAGAAAGGCCTGAAAATGTACGTTCAGAAACTGTTTTCAAAAACCGCTAATCGGCAAAACGCACAAAGTTGCAGCCATCTGAATTTCGAAAAAAGGAAGGCTTTTCTCGAATTTCTGGCACACTGATTTTTGCCGGCGGAAAGGCTTTCCTTTCGCCATCGCAAAAGTCAGCTCGTAGCCTAGTACTCCGTAGGAGTCTCCTGAATGTTGAGGGATGTATCCTGCTCGGAACCATGAATATTGACGAAAATTGAAAAATACTGGAGCTTTAAGCTGCTCACGCACAACCGAAAGAACTTTAATCATATTGTCTCCCTTGCTGATCTTGAAATCCGGTTTGCTGGCTCGAATGTGATCGTGAATCTTTCCATTACGCCTTTAAATGGTTGATAGAAGTAAACATCCAATGGTTCAACGAGTCCTGTACACCCCGCTTAAACTCGCCTTGTCAATCATTAAATAACATTATACAAATTTCTAACAATCAAAAAGGGTTTTCAACTATTTTTCAAAAAAAGCAAAAGGTTTTACTGCCAGCGGATCCGAACCAAGATCAAAGAGTCCCGAGCGCAGGCACGCTAACCACTAGGCTACGAGCTGACTTTTGGGATGGCGAAAGGAAAGCCTTTCCGCCGGCAAAAATCAGTGTGCCAGAAATTCGAGAAAAGCCTTCATTTTTTCGAGATTCAGATGGCTGTGCGTTTTGCCGATTAGCGGTTTTTGAAAACAGTTTCTGAACGTACATTTTCAGGCCTTTCTTTTTGCACCTACCTCATATTGTAACTCGCGGGTAACTTGGGAAGGTTCCCTGGTAAGCTTTTGACCTTTTTACTGATCATATTATTATTATTAGTGATCCTGATCATACTGTTAGCTACTTTATTATCATTGAAAGTATCTATTTGATCAGTTGTACGATTTTAAAACCTTATCTTATCTTTTTAGGGCACCTGTTCCAAGAAGAAGGGCCAATAGAAACTGCATTAGGCAAAATGTCAATCCTTGTTCACATCGAACATCGAAAATCAAGTGACAAACATCGAGAAGAGGCTGAATTGAAACAATAATAATAAACAATAATAAACAATAACAATAAACAATAATAATAAAGGAAATTTCAAAATATTTCAAAATCAATAAACTTCAAAATAAAAATTCAAAATTTCACGTAAAAGGAACACTCTTTTTTGGAGATTATTCTGGAAAGAGTGAACGATTAGAAGACTTTTTTTTGGGTTGGTCCCAAAAAGAACCAATATAAAGCCCCGAAAATGGGAAAAGAATTTTTCTAGAAAAGGAAAAGTGAGATAAAAAAATGGGATCTCAATTTTGGGGATTTGGAAAAGATTTGGGTTTAAATTTGGAATTCAACAAGATTTAAAGCGAATTCAACAAGATTTTCGAGATTTTCGACGGAAATTTCAAAAATTAGCTGAAAATCACTTTAATATTGTGATAATAGCAAAGATTTCAAACATCTTTCTGATTGAAACTGATTGAAATTGAGTGAAACTTGTAATTGTCCTGTTTTGAACTTGTAAACGTTTTGTTTTCATCCAAAAATGATTCTGGGTGTCGTACAGAGTAAGCCCTATGCTGTTTTCTTTGTCATGAGCGTCACTTTGCCGGGACGATTCCCGCAGGGCCCAACCTTTATGGGGGAACGATCTCTGTTCTCAGTGCTTGTCCAGGGACTTTCCTCACATCTTTGTGCGGTTATAAAAACCGGTGAGTGGCTGCGAGTACTCATCTTGTCGACACCCAGTGCTCTCCCTGCCAAAAGGGCGGCCTTTTTATGACCCCATCAATCCCCATGTGCCAGAAAGAGCGCGATTGTGCGGCACCGTAAAGTACACGTAAGGAAAAGGGTTTGGCGATAAAAGTGAGTGATTATTTCTTAAAAACCACTACATTATTTGTTTGAATTCGTGTTTTTATGACCCCATCAATCTCCGTGTGCCAGAAAGAGCGCGATAGTGTGGCACCGTAAAGTACACGTAAGGAAAAGGGTTTGGCGATGAAAGTGAGTGAATAATTCTTAAAAACCATTTGTTTGAATTCGTGTTTTTATGATCCCATCAATCTCCGTGTGCCAGAAAGAGCGCGATTGTGCGGCACTCTAAAGTACACGTAAGGGAAGGGGTTTGGCGATGAAAGTGAGTGAATAATTCTTAAAAACTAACGTTATTTGTTTGAATTCGTCTTCTTATGACAGCATAATCAATTTGTGACAATTTTTCTTAAAACTCTACACACAAAAGGTCAAATATGAAAGCAAAATCCTTACAATTCTTGATAGTTTACAGTTTTTACAGTTTTTTACAAATTTCATAGAAATTACAAGACATTCAAATCAACTTTGATAAAAAAATAACCCAAAAAAGCGTTTCCTATTGTTGCAATGGGATGTTTTGGTTCTTTTCTTTTTCTTTTTCTTCTCTCTTGTTTTTGCCAGAGCCTCCATTGTCTCTGGGGACAAAAACTAATGAGTTAAATAGGGGGAAAGTGGTGATCAAGTGTAGTCCCTATTTTGCCCGTTTTCGTCACATTGAGCAAATAACTTGAAGAAAACTTGTGGAAAACTTGAAGAATAGTGTTTACCCTTACTAGAAACACTAAAAAAAGCTTAATAAATTATAGCGTATTATAGCAAAAAAAAGCACTACAAAGCCAAACCCAGATCGAAAACGAGTTAAGCAAAATTTTTCTGCAAAGCCAGCTTTTTGGTTACTGTAAAGTGATTGGATGCTAGGATTTTGTAAAAAATGGAACTAATAACTTGAATTTAAAGAAGTAATGCGTTAAAAGCTTTAGTCAAGAATTTGGAATTATCGGAGATTTGATACGTGCCCCGCCCTCTTTGCCATTGGCAATCCAACTTTGAGCTCAAATATCTTGGCTTTCGATTGTCCAATTTAAATATTCTTCTTTTCATTGGATGCGCCAAGTCTTTCTCTGTCGTTTGGTACAAAAAGTATTTAAATTGGACAGCCCAACACCAAGATATTTGAGCTCAAGGTTAGATTGCTAATGGCAAATGGTTAGATTGCCAATGGCGCGTATCAAATGTCCCACAATCAGAATTTGGTGCTTGGTTTTTTTACGCCAGTGTTAAAAATAAAAAAAAACATTAAAATAATATGCACAAGTTAACAATTCATCTATATGATTACAATCTGGAAAGAATCTAAAATGTTAAGTATCAAACTTTGAGTATCAAACGAGAGAAAAGACACGAAATCAAAGTCAACGGCAAAAAGATTCGCTCATTTGTTCGACTCGATCTCCTCTTCTCAAAAAAAGGGGGAGGAGTCGCCCTTTCTTCACAAATTGCGAGAGAAAAGACACGAAATCCTTTCTTTTTCTTTTCTTTTCCTTTCTTTTCCTTTCTTTTCCTTTCTTTTCCTTTCTTTTACCCTTCCTTTCTCCATTCACGACTTCTGATTTCCTCAAGAAACACACCCAGAAAAAAGCGCATTGTCTCCCAAAAAAGTGTCTCACTGAAAAGACAAATTTGGATTTTATCGAGTTTTTCCCAATGCGACACAGCTGAGGAATCTAAAGCCTAAAGAATTTGCATTCAAATGTTGCAGTAACTGAAATTCAGTCAGCTGGAAAATTAAGGGATTGGGATTTAAAATTAGCACACTTACGACCTCATCCGACCCTTATCAAGCCTTGCATTATGAAACAATTTGACCTGATAACATGAGAATTTAACCAGATAATATTTGAAATCAATTTACATAATCAAACTTACACTTAAAATGCTTAAAGGCAGTCAAATGCTTTATTTGTCTTCAAATTTCACAACTCTTACTATTAGATATTGCTATGTGGTTAAAGTAAGTATTATTAGGTTGGTGAATTGAAAACTGCGGGACTTTGAACTAAAATTTATTCAATATAAAGCCATCAATGCATTCGAAATAATTTCCATTATTATTGACGACTTCTGCCCATTTTGCAGGCAATTTGCGGATTGCTCTTCCGTAGTAGGATTTTGGTTTGTGTGTGAGACAAGTGTGAGACTCAAAAATGGAGGACTGGAGATGTCCGATAGAGAGTTTAAGCACTTTCTTCAAAAGAAACCCATTTGGTGTCAATAGAAAAGTTGTAGAGAATCAAAAATGAGGCTTATAGCCAAATTTCCAAAAAGATACACTTAGTAGTTTCGCTTAAAATGCAAGTTTTGTGAAAATTCGTAAATTTTGGCATTTCTTGAAAACCAGTTTTTGAATCGTTCTGAAAATTTGGATATAAGCTTGATTTTTGATTCTCTACAACTTTTCCATTGACACAAAAATGGGTTTCTTTTGAAGAAAGTGCTCAAACTGTCACATATGACAATAGCCCGCAGTTTTCGATTCACCAACCCAATATTTACTTAAAAATGGCATACGAACACAAAAAAACCTATACAGAAAGTGATTAAATTGAAAATTGAAAATATAAAGTCAAATTTTGAAGTAAAAACCATTCACCTATGATCTGTGAGATGATGATCTGTGAATAAGCAAAGCTGGCAGAGAAAAAACGCCAAAAGAAACGCAAAAAAAAACGCCGTAACACTTTTAAACGTGAAACAAGGAAGGCTAGATCTCATTTGACATCAGAAAATAAACATTTCTCAAGTGGAATTTCGACTTTTTCAGTTGGAACATTTTTGTGTAGGCGTTTGCTCTTTCATCTTTCCAAAAATTCAAATCAAAACTTTTTAGCACTCGTATTTTTGGCAATATTCTCTTCAGCAGCCGCCCAGAAAAGTGAAAACCCATTCATGCATCGAATCGTGTCACATTTGCGTCACAAATATTTGCCAAATATTGACTGAGCTTTAAAGTTTTGTCTCTTAGATAGAGGTTATTTTTGTTTAAAAGCAAAATAAAGAAATAATAAAAATAACAAAGAAGCAACAATTGGTATTTTATTAGAAAAACAATTGAACGGATGATTCTTAGGTATACAAAACTCTATACAAACGAAATATGTAGCAATGTTTTTTGGAGATATCAATTGGAAATCGAGTTGGAGAGTTGCTAAAGGTTTGTTTGAGATTTGTAACAATGTATGTAATGCATGTTTGTATGTAGTTTTTGTTTTTATGTGTATGTCCCCTTCTCAATTCATATTTTTAGATACTTTCTTTAAAAGCGAGTCTGATGATCAACACTGATGTCAACACTCAGCAACACTTTCAAAGCTTCATAAGAGAAAGCAAAAAAAAACTAAATTCCTGCCGCTTTTCGAATTTGAATAAATCGGTAAAGAAAGATTCTTTGCGTGCTTGGTACTCTTCACTCAAGACATGTTATTTCTTGTTTCGAGATGTCTGATCTCACTTGAACTAAGACACTTTATTCCGACTGACAATAGCCGACTGACTCGCAATTTTTGGGCTCACTTGAGCTCTCACTTGAGCAATTTTCATACAAAATCGACAATTGAATTAGAAGCGACGATAAAGACAGAAAGTAATTTCGTCTTAATTACGACACAACTTTCACACGATGAAAGAAAAGCAGAAAAAAGTAAAAAACGCATCAAATGAACAACAGTTGCCTTATATAGGCTTTAACACAAGATATTCAGCTAACAGCTATTCAGCTAACAAGCTACAAAACAATCAATGATTTGGGGCACGAAATAGAATGAAGGCGCACGGATTTCCGCAATACTTTTCCAATTTTTAGGCTGTCAGAGTATACGTTCCTAGGTGTAAACGGATGTGGACTAGAATTTGGGTTAAGTTAAAGAGATTGAATCCCTTTTGATATCCCGCCATCTCTAACACCCCGACAACCCAACTCAACTCCTCCAACGTATTAGAGGGGAGTCCCTGTGAAATGACCGACCTGTAGTGGCACGGCAGTTGCATAGACCCGGAAGATACATTCTTTATTTACAGTAATACAATAAGATGAATAGATTAGAAATGAGTGTAAGGGGAAGGGGGGACTCCAAATGAGAGTCTCACTTGCCCTCCCAGGCAATCCTAAGGACCGCCCCTTCTCGGCAATAAAAGGGATAAGCACAGAGGAGAACACATTTGCATAAGACTAGACAAATCATTCAATAATAACAATAGTAACTAAAATATCAGTTTGGCTCGGAGCTGACAAGAGTTAGGTAACTTTTTAGTGGCTATTCGCCACAACATCTTTTCTAATTAAAGTGAGCAATTACTGGAAAGCTAAATGCAAAATAAAACATTATTTATTGATGAAAATGGGCTATCTATTCAGATTTTGAATAGATTTCAGATTTCCTATTTTCTTTTCAATTTTAAGAGAGACAGGTTTCCCTCAACCAAATGGCTGTATTAACGTTTGTTTCGAGGAAGCTTGCACATTGTAAAACGTTGTAAAACCTTTGAAATCCTTTGATCTTGTAAAAACTTTGATCAACATTCACTACATCATCAAGATAGAGACGACCACTTTACGTTTGATGGTTTCGATGGTTTCACAAGGCTCATGTCTAACTGTCTCATTTTATTCACGGCGATTTACGTCACCATCACCTATACGATAGTATTAGATTGGTGCATAAGTCTCTGTTATTAGCTAAAGAACATCTAGAGTTATCTAGAGTCACAAGAATGTCTAGAGTGAGTTCTTTCTAGGTTAGTGCATAAGTCTTTACAATTTTTTTCGAAATATTATTTAAAAATAATGCCGCCACCAACAAAATCTTCATTTCAACCATTAAAATGGTTACTTGTTAAAAGTAAAAATTGAATTGAAATTTCAAAGCTTCAAGGGATTTTAAAGAGATGAAGCTTTAAAGGGCGCCTTTCAATCACTAGAATATCGGCGCTGGTATCCTAGTGGATAGTGGGGCGGCGTCGCGGTAGTAAGATCGGGGTCCGGTCCCGCTCTTGGTTTTTGGTTTTCTATTTTTTTAGATGTTATACTTTACGTTTCTTTTTCAAATTACGATTTACATCACAATCGCAATGAACGGGGTAAAAAGCTGTAAAGTATATTACATTCAAAGAAAAAAAAGACCAAAAACCAAAAACCACGGGCGGGACCGAAGCCGGAGCTTACCACTGAGAGGGCATCCCACGATGCACTAGGCTACCAGTGCCCGTCTCCTTAGAGAAGAGAACTAGAGAAAGAATGGGGTCAGCAAAGTCTTAACATTCACCTTAATAGAAGGGCATCTTTTGTAAAATCATGCTTTGTAAAATCTAACGATGTGTTTCTATCAAGCGGCAGTGATCTATTGGGTTGGTGAATCGAAAACTGCAGGCTATTGTCATATATGACAGTTTGAGCACTTTCTTCAAAAGAAACCCATTTTGGTGTCAATGGAAAAGTTGTAGAGAATCAAAAATCAAGCTTATATCCAAATTTTCAGAACGATTCAAAAACTGGTTTTCGAGAAATGCCAAATCTACGAATTTTCACAAAACTTGCATTTTAAGCGAAACTACTAACCAGGGAACCTTCCCAAGTTAACTGCGAGTTACAATATGAAGTAGGTGCCAAAAGAAAGACCTGAAAATGTACGTTCAGAAACCGCTAATCGGCAAAGCGTACAAAGTTACAGCCATTTGAATTTCGAAAAAATGAAGGCTTTTCTCGAATTTCTGGCACACTGATTTTTGCCGGCGGAAAGGCTTTCCTTTCGCCATCCCAAAAGTCATAGCGTAGTGGTTAGTGTGCCTGCGCTCGGGACTCTTTGTCCCGAGCCCCCTTGGGTCGGATCCACTATCAGTCAATTTTTTTCCTTTTTTTAAAAAACATTAAAAAACCTTTTTTGATTATTGGAAATTTGAATGACAGAAAATAACAGGAAAAGTATTTCAATATTTTGCTGATTGTTTGCACACGGCGAGGCGAAACCGAAAAGAGCATGGGACGTCATTCCACTTGTAGATGTAACCGTCGCTCGTCGGAGCCCACCAATTGGGGACGGTTATCGGATCAGGGAACGTCTAAACCTAGTATGCCTCGTTCTCCGGTTAGAAATTCTCGTTCACCTGCAGACAATATTCGTTATTGTTGGAGTTATCTGGTTGTACGGGTGCAGCCCATCGGGTGTAGTTGAAAGGTGTCCCGTCTACCCACATCCAATCGGTTTTCCCGGGTCCCGTCTGAAAGTGAGATTTATGGAAAACCTTTGTTATGATCAAACTCTTTTTCCTCCAAGGAGAGGTTCAGTTCGGGCATCTGCGATGCCCAATAAACGGCCGATTTACCATTCACAAAATCGTTTTCCTCTTCCGAATGTATCGACGCCAATTGTGAGCCCATCAGCCGGCAATTCTGATCGGCTGTCGTGAAATCCACATTAAATACCACCTGCGCATCTCAATACGGTCAATACGAATCAGCAATTTACCCTGTAACAAAATTTTAGTCTTTCAGAGTAGACCCAATCCGTTGGACATGGTGAATAGAGGGAGCAATTCGGAGGCTGATTGCTCGGATCCTGAATATCGGCTTGCTTAATCTTGGTCAAATTGCTCACAACTGAATCCACCTGTGGTTGGCTGAGACAAACGAATGGAAACATTCCATTCCAATTCGACGTCGTCCATTTGCCGCTTGTCAGATTCAGCAAAAGATTCCCAGCCAGTGAACCTGAAATGAGTTGTATTAGCTTGGTAAATATGAAAGGTTATTTTTTTTGATCATTTTTAACATAACAGAAAAATTTATTTAAGCACTTTCAAAATCAAATGTAGTCACCAGAAGCATTAATAACTTCTTTCCAACGTTGCCCCAAATCACGAATGCCGTCCTCGTAAAATTGAAGATTTTTAGAGGCAAAATAGTTGGCAACACAATTTTCGATGTCCTGCTTTTGTTTGAACTGCTGTCCAGAAACTGCTTGTTTCATTGACCGAAAGAGATGGTAATCCGATGGGGCTAGATCAGGGCTGTATGGCGTGTGAGGAAGAAGTTTCCATCCCGACTTAGCGATCTGTTCGTGGGCGACCTTTGAAATGTGCGGCCTAGCTGTCCATAGAGTCGAATATTTTCATACGAAAGCCAAGTCTCATCAGATGTCAAAAAATACTTCCAAAAGTCACGATGGCTAGCTTTACGTAGAAGGACAGAGCTCAAGGTGACTCGTGTGACTTTGTGGGCATCAGTGAGGTCGTGGGGAGCCATTTCCCGCTTCGATATGATTTCCCAAGAACGTGTAAATGGTAACATGAGTGCATCCGAACTTTTCTGCTAATTTTCTACACTTTTGCGATGGATCCAAGTCGACCTCGTTCAGTAACAGCTGATCGTCCAAAGTAATCGGCGGCTTTCCATGTGGTGCATCTTCCAATGACTCGTTTCCCGTTTTGAAGCGATCGTACCAAACACAACATTGTTTGTAAGTAAGAGCAGCTTCTCCAAAAATAGTACAAATGTTCTGATGGCATTCCGTAGCTTTCTTGTTTAACTTGAATTCAAAGAAAATGGCGGCCTTGATTTTAAATTTTTGGTTATCCATCTTTACCGAGCTGAAACAATACAAATATTGTCCAAAACAAAAAAGTTTTTGCAAAAAAAACATGAGCACATTTTGACATATTATTGAGAAAAATCCTAGACAACGAATGTTCTTCGTAACGACAGGGCAATATTTTTTGTAAAAAATAACCTTTCATATTTACCAAGCTAATAAATTGAAGCAAAACATTAGCTCTGGATAACTATTAGGTTGTCCAGTTATGAATGCACGCCTGCTCTTGAACAACTTGAACAGCATTCCTTAGAGCTATACAATTTTATCAAACGCAATTCTCTAAATGCTGTTCAGGACTTCTTATTTTATTACAACTTTTCGTGTTTTTGACGTCAAACCCATTTTTGATTTAATTTCTGTGTTTAGATTTAATTTCTGTGTTTAGATTTAATTTCTGTGTTTAGATTTAATTTCTGTGTTTAGATTTAATTTCTGTGTTTAGATTTAATTTCTGTGTTTAGATTTAATTTCTTTAGATAAAGCCAGTGTCGGCGATGGTTTCAACGATTTCGAGAAGGAAATGAATTCTTGGGAGATGAGGATCACCGGCCTCCTACGATCGATAATGCAGTACTTAAGCAGGCGATCGAAATTGATCCTCGACAAACTACACGTGAACTTGCAGAAATATTTGGAATAAGCCCTCAAAAACGCGCAACTACAACCTAATAGTAGTTTGGCTAGGGTGAGTTTTTAACCGTTACTTAAAATGAGACCATAAGTTAAATAAGAGAATCCTCCAGTGGATCCATCGATCCACGTGATTTTCGCTCCATCAAAAGTTCCGCCCAACCAGATGAATTTCGTTGACTAAATGTACCCAGTACTAGAAGATCATAAGGGATCAACTTCAGGTAACAAGTTGGCCACTTCCAAAAGTTTCTTGTTCTCTTCCGATGAACGAATTGAGACCAAATTGCCGAAGTAACTAAATTTTGCATTTGAAGCAAAACTTTCGTCTCACTTTGAACAAAATTCTTGAGCATTTTCGAAGGAAGCATTAAATTTCACAGCGAATAGACAACTTCCCCCAATAGCACCGGGAATTCCGCCTTGAGGACAGCTTGAAAGGGAGAAATCTAAATAAAAGAATGAGCGCTTAAAACATTCAAAAGGTACCAATCCATGTTAAAAGGAAAAAAGGAATCTGTAGCTTTCGATGCATGTTTTCTTTAGTGAATTGAGAAGTGAATTCTCTCTTGGTGATACGAAATTTGTTTACGAGTTTTCTACAGTTAAATTTTGAAAGAAGAGATAAGAATCTCGGTCAACACGGTATTTTCAATTCTCCCTTTTGCTTTAACTTCAACAAATAAGCCTTTGACTGATAATGGCTTTAAATGGGAGTCTTTTAATCCAAATATTTGTTGAAAAACGTTTGAATTAGGTCAAAGTATCAATGAGGGAATATCAATAAGAGAATTGGAGAAAATAAGAAGCAAAACATCGTCAATTTAATGACATTTTTCGACTCACTGAAAATCACGTATCAAACATAATTTTGCTAACATCGGCACTTATCGATTGATGGCTTATTTTCCGAGTCCAGACGTTTACCAATTCCTTGCTTATGCCTTTATATGCCCTCGCACTGATGGTCGGAGTGGTTCTCTTGATATTCGAAATGCTTTTCCTATTTGTGACCACCGTCTATCGGACTTTAAATGATCAATTGTGATTCTCAGTCGGAAAACTAGGGAAATGCAACGATATTTCACGCTTATGTTTTTCTTCTTCAGGTTTTATTCGTTTAAAAACACGTTTATCATACCTTCTTTAGATGTTCTGGAAAGATTTACACAATTTGGCTAAATTAACGATCATGATCCAGACTCAAATCTCTTAGAATAGCCGATTATTTTACTTCCAAAGCCTAGTAGAAGACAAAGTTTCTGAAACTCTTACTAGCGAAAGGCACGAACTTCTCGTGAGCTTTCATTTCTGAATCACATACATCTTACTAAATCGAGTATGGAGATGCATGATCTGAAATCAAAATCTGCAAAATAAGCTTGCAAAGGCGTAAAAATCGAAGTGACATTTCAAAGCTTCAAGGGACTTTAAAGACTTGAAGATTGTAGGTAAAATAAACTTGTTGTCATCAACAGTCGCCGAAATGCCGTCCCACTATCCACTAGGCCACCAGTGCCTATATTCTAGTGATTGAAAAGCGCCCTTTAAAGCTTCAATTTCATTTTCTTCAACTCTTTAAAGTCCCTTGAAGCTTTGCAAATTTCGCTTCAATTTCTACGCGTCTTTTAACAAGTAAATTTCAGGTTCAAATGGAAATTTTGTTCCATTATTTTTAAATGATTAAAAAATTGTAAAGACTTATGCACTAACCTAGAAAGAACTCACTCTAGACATTCTTGTGACTCTAGATAACTCTAGATGTTCTTTAGCTAATAACAGAGACTTATGCACCAATCTAATACTATCGTATAGGTGATGGTGACGTAAATCGCCGTGAATAAAATGAGACAGTCAGACATGAGCCTTGTGAAACCATCGAAACCATCAAACGTAAAGTGGTCGTCTCTATCTTGATGATGTAGTGAATGTTGATCAAAGTTTTTACAAGATCAAAGGATTTCAAAGGTTTTACAACGTTTTACAATGTGCAAACTTCCTCGAAACAAACGTTAATACAGCCATTTGGTTGAGGGAAACCTGTCTCTCTTAAAATTGAAAAGAAAATAGAAATCTGAAATCTATTCAAAATCTGAATAGATAGCCCATTTTCATCAATAAATAATGTTTTATTTTGCATTTAGCTTTCCAGTAATTGCTCACTTTAATTAGAAAAGATGTTGTGGCGAATAGCCACTAAAAAGTTACCTAACTCTTGTCAGCTCCGAGCCAAACTGATATTTTAGTTACTATTGTTATTATTGAATGATTTGTCTAGTCTTATGCAAATGTGTTCTCCTCTGTGCTTATCCCTTTTATTGCCGAGAAGGGGCGGTCCTTAGGATTGCCTGGGAGGGCAAGTGAGACTCTCATTTGGAGTCCCCCCTTCCCCTTACACTCATTTCTAATCTATTCATCTTATTGTATTACTGTAAATAAAGAATGTATCTTCCGGGTCTATGCAACTGCCGTGCCACTACAGGTCGGTCATTTCACAGGGACTCCCCTCTAATACGTTGGAGGAGTTGAGTTGGGTTGTCGGGGTGTTAGAGATGGCGGGATATCAAAAGGGATTCAATCTCTTTAACTTAACCCAAATTCTAGTCCACATCCGTTTACACCTAGGAACGTATACTCTGACAGCCTAAAAAATTGGAAAAGTATTGCGGAAATCCGTGCGCCTTCATTCTATTTCGTGCCCCAAATCATTGATTGTTTTGTAGCTTGTTAGCTGAATAGCTGTTAGCTGAATATCTTGTGTTAAAGCCTATATAAGGCAACTGTTGTTCATTTGATGCGTTTTTTACTTTTTTCTGCTTTTCTTTCATCGTGTGAAAGTTGTGTCATAATTAGGACGAAATTACTTTCTGTTTTTATCGTCGCTTTTAATTCAAATGTCGATTTTGTGTGAAAATTGCTCAAGTGAGAGCTCAAGTGAGCCCAAAAATTGCGAGTCAGTCGGCTATTGTCAGTCGGAATAAAGTGTCTTAGTTCAAGTGAGATCAGACATCTCGAAACAAGAAATAACATGTCTTGAGTGAAGAGTACCAAGCACGCAAAGAATCTTTCTTTACCGATTTATTCAAATTCGAAAAGCGGCAGGAATTTAGTTTTTTTTTGCTTTCTCTTATGAAGCTTTGAAAGTGTTGCTGAATGTTGACATCAGTGTTGATCATCAGACTCGCTTTTAAAGAAAGTATCTAAAAATATGAATTGAGAAGGGGACATACACATAAAAACAAAAACTACATACAAATATCTAAGAACTACATACAAACATGCATTACATACATTGTTACAAACCTCAAACAAACCTTTAGCAACTCTCCAACTCGATTTCCAATTGATATCTCCAGAAATAGATCAAAAAATGCCAACGTTGAGTCACGATTGAGTAAGGTTGAGTCACGATTGCATATTGATGTTTTTCATGATGGAAAACTGGAATATGGATGCCGGGCAATGTCTCTTTCACATAGTCCACCATTGATTTCTTTTGCTCGCCTTCGATGAGATTCCATTTCCATTTAGCTCTCAAGAATTGATCGAGAATTTTCGATTTCGATTGTTCATCGCTGACTTCACGAATAGAGGCGTCGCTTCTTAAAATAAGATCAATTTTTTCAGCCAATCTTTCTACCTCACAATTTATTTTGACTCCATCAAAGTCCACGCCGAATTGCCGACTCGAAAAGCCGTTCTTCAGAACTCTTTCGACAATTTTGATGGCTTTCTCTATATTCTCTTCCGTATTAAAAAGCACAGTATTAGCTCGTTTGAAATTCTTGTAGAAATACTCCTCGAAATGTCCACTTTGATCGTTGAGTTCAACATTTCCAAAATTCTCGATTATTGGCTTCAAAAGTAAGAAAATTTCCTGATTTTTTTTCGGGAGAACTGACGAATTCTTGGCCAATCGAAAGTTCTAAGGAATCGGCGGAAATCGGATGAAATCTCTGTAAGAGTTTCAAGAATTCCTCTCCATTATAAATAGTGCTTAGCCGATACTTACCGACAATCCTCAAATAGATCGGCAGTGGATCTTCTTCGGGGAGCAGTCGATTGTGACGAGCCGGATTGAATCGTTGACAACTTTTGATTCCAGACAAAAGGTTTTCGAGAATTCCCAAGAAATGGTGTGGAGAAACGGAATAGTTTAGGGTTTCTTGATCCCTAGTCCATTGAATCGAGAAATGGCAATGTTGAAAAGAGCAACTAAATGTCGTCATTCTCTCACCAGACTCGTTGACAAAAGTGAGAGTCCATCCAGGTCGAGTCCACGTTAGTTGCCTCTCATCTGTCCATTCTTGATCGTCCCGAATGCATAACTTGTGAATTCTTCGACAATAGAAAGGCCCATGAGCTAGAGAATATTCTCTTAGACTTTGGCTCGTTTTCAGAAGAATCGGAATCGAGACGATGGGAGTTCTTTCGAGAATCTTTGTTTCTAATTCGAAGGGAAGTTGGGACAACGGGAAATTCATCACAAAGGTCGGTTAGTTTGTGTATGATTCAATCGAGGGAAAGATTGATAGGACTTCTTTTCATAAACGTTCTCTTCTCTTGTCTCTTATCTCTAAAACCCTCAAAAAAAAAACACGTCACTCGTTTCATGTTCGCCGGAAAGTCTTGTCCGCTTTTTTTAAAGGTTATTTTTTGAAATGAATAATGAACCAATCGATTTATCGTTTGTGTTATCAGAAATTCCTATTATTTATTTACAAATAGCCCTTTAAGAAATGCTGAAAAGCTCTCGTTAGTTAATTTTTTAAAGATGTAAAGTCGAGGAGTCAAAAACGAAGTCAAACGAAGCAAAGTCAAAGTTCCGATTTGAGCACTTTTTGTCACAGAAACCTAGTTTCATGCTAAAAAGACAAAAGATACGTAGCCACACTAACCACGAGGCCACGACTCACTTTTTAGAACTCCGTAGCCATTATGACGAAAATGATGTGCCAGAAATTGAAAAAACCTTTCACAAATCATGAACTTTGAAGTCATTTTTTGCCCTCTTCCACCCCCCTTAACACACATTTAACTATGATATTTAGAAGCAGAAAAAAAAAAAATTTCCAATCGAATAAGCATACCGTAAATACTGTAATAGTACCCCACCCCCATAATGACGGTGCGAAGTGTTGCGTAGTCTAGCTTTGAACGAGTTTTTCTCGACACTGGTTTATGCTACAATGTTCGCTTAGGTATCAAAAAATAGCTGAGATTCAGGGCTATTTTTTGATACCAAAGACGCATTTTTTTGAAAGTACGGGCGCTTTGAAAGAAATGAAATACTAAAAAACTTTTGCGACTACGCGACTGTACAAGGGGGGTGGGGTACTATTACAGTATTTACGGTATTTCGAAAGGCGATGGAGAATTCGTGAGCATCTCTAGTAAGAAGGTTGACTGCTGAACAGCCACCTATTGACAATAATTTTTTTCTGTTTCAATGAATGATTCAATTTTTCAATTCAATGTGTATCTGAATAAATTGGTGCTAAATTAGAATATGCAAGGAAAATCTTTTTCAAATCAACTAAAAACACTTGGCACATGTCTTCTTTGATTTTCTCCTTTTGGTTTTGATTTTCTTACAATTTTCCATCAACTTTGGTCTAAAAGTTGACTTTTCAACGACAAGAATTCCGTGACCAATTTCTCTCACCTTGTAAAAAACAAACGCGGATCTGCATTTGCAATTTGAAAAGATTTCAGCCTTGATTTGTTGCTCTTCAAACTTTGGCAAATTTTCGTGAAAGGGCATCCACAAATAGCCAACGATTTCTTAAGGCACACAAACAGAGTCCTTGAAGCCAGAATTTTGAGAATTTATTGAGCAAATAGTTTACTTCATTTCTCTCACTCTTTGCTTGAAAGGATTACAGTCATTTCTGCAACTCCGCACATCAAATATACAGTGGCAAAAAAAAGGGTTTTCTGCTTCGTTTAAATGTTTGACCACAGCACCAGCTCGATACTATATGGACTGAATGAGTTGAGGTTTTTAGAGTATTTGAGTTTCGATATTTGATGTCTTTTTGCCTAAAGATTAGATTATTGTACGAAGAGTGACTAATACAAGAGTTGTTGTTGTTGTTGTTCTTGTTCTTCTTCTTCTTCTTCTTCTTCTTCTTGTTGTTGTTCTTGTTCTTGTTGTTGTTATTCTTGTTGTTGTTGTTGTTCTTGTTGTTCTTGTTGTTGTTCTTCTTCTTGTTGTTCTTCTTCTTGTTGTTCGTGTTGTTGTTGTTGTTGTTCTTGTTGTTGTTGTTGCTCTTCTTCTTGTTGTTGTTGTTAATTTGTGTTTGCCTATTTCATTGTTGCGTTCGAATAAATTCTATATTAACAACATTTCTTAGAAGACTTTTTTGGCAAATTTTTATTTTCTTTTGCTTTTATTTTCTTTGGTAGACTTTTCCGTGCATTATCTTCTCTTTCTATTAGTGTATTTCAATGTTTGAAGTAAATCAAGTGATTTCTTGAAGCTAAGTCATCAAAAGCTCAAAGCGAATAGGAATAAAGTATCTGTAAAGTGACTGAGTTTAGATGAGATTTTGATTTTAACAACAATCAGGAGGCGATTGTAATTTTTAAGGAATCCAAGGTTTTTGATCCATTTACCTCAGAAACGCCTCTTTTATTAGCAAAATCTTCTCCTATTGTACTGATTCATCATTTTTTAAAGACTGCTAAGACTGCTTGAATTGAGAAGAGCTTCAAATGAAAGCCTCCATAGGAGCTGGTGATGGGAAGGAAGGGGAAACGAGGAGGAGAACAGGAGAACAGTTGACTCTTTCTTCTCCTTAACCCCTTTTCATTCATCGTTCATCAACATCTTCTGCCTTTAACGTAGTCCCTACGAGATATACCGAGAGCTAACTGTTCCTCATTGAAAGGAAATTTGGATGAAACACAGAGGATTGAAAGCAGAGGCTTTGGCCTTGGCTTGGCTTGGTTTGGCTTGGCTCTGGATTGGCTTGGCTTGACCGAGAAAATCGGCTCTTCGTCCATCCTTGATTGTTGACGAGATTAGCCCAACAAAATGTTTCCAACAACATACATAAAATTCAAATTCCAATCAAAAGTCAAATGCAGCTCTTTATTGATTACAATCAAGGATGCGATGGGAGCCAATTGCACAAATCGCCTCGGCAGCACTTGTAGTAATTTCCTTTGAAGATGTGCCAGCCTTCTGTCTAAATTCTTCTTTGTACAGTGAAAGCCTGATGGATTCTATAAGGAAAGTTCAATTCTGTCATTCTCTAAGACGACATTCAGAGAAAAAGAAAACCTTGCACAAAATGCCGTTTTGCAAATCGCATCCACAGCCGGCTACACGCTTTCCCTGAAATATTTGCATGAGTTTTTTAACACTTTAACTCTTTCTCGAGATCCGATCTCTCCATAAGTCATATAAAGCTATTTTCTTCTATTGTTCTTTCTCTAATTCTTCTATTGTTCTTTCTTCTTCTATTGTTCTTAAGGACTACTTTTTTGAGAGGAGAAAAAACGAAAAATTCGAACTGATCTCTTTTGAAGAGAATGAACTTTCATCGATTATAGCTTTCTATATTTTTGTTTTCTCCATTGAAGCTCAAACAGAAATCTTACCACTTTGAGTTCTGAGTTTTAGTTTAACTCCCCACCATTCGATTCTATTAGACAAGTATGGTAGTCATTAAGTCCACAGGATTTGACTTAGCTATTGAGATCAATTGGGATCAATTGAGACGATCGATTGAGACAATTTGCATTACAATCAATTGAGACAGTTCGTATCTATCGCTTTTCCCCACTTGATGGACGGAGTGGAGACAGAATTCACCGCACGTGCACGTGACAGCTTGTCCCCCGTTGAATTGACATCGAATCGCCGCCGTTGCCACGAAAGTCACGACCAGAACAAGGAGAACTTTCATCATGCTGGAAGCGAGTTTTTTAGATTTATTGAGATTTTAAATGATCAAATTCAGAGCAATAAAGGGAAAGCTTTCATTTTCGAGGAAATTTCAGAAACATTGTTGACTGTCTCATCGCCAAAACACTGGCAAGTCAATCGGAACACTGACAAATCAATTGGAAGACTCATCCAAACATTTAACACAGAAATCGATTTGGATTGAAGAAGGAAACGATTTGAATAAAAGCCATATATTGATTTAAAAACGCAATATACCGTAACGTATCGTAAAATGCACAAAAATTTGTATTGCACTGTTTAGAAATGTCATGTTTTTGAGACGTTGAGATCAAGAAATGCGCATTTTAAAAACAGTCCAAAGCCAGAAAAATTCAAGTACCTCAATAACTATCCATCTAATTGATTAAGCCTTTAATTCCACAGCTTTGCGTGCATGTAAAAAGAACAAGCCTGTAACAATAGCTACAGTAGCGCTCAAAATGATTTAGTCGATGGTAGACTATGGTATTTCTTTTCCTTTTTCTGAGATATCGACTTACACTCAAAAGCAAAGATGTACCTTTATTTGCTGATGTAACATCCCTAGTCAGTAGAAGTACTGACTAGGGACCATGTGTTCTACTGACTAGCGATGCACAGGGTCAAAAAGGAAAAACTGAGATTAAGAGCGCGCACACTTACCTCTACAACACACGGTCACGTTTGGGGAAATGGGAAAGCGCTCATACACCTCTGAGTAGGGATGCACACAGATTGAGAAAATGGACATGTCTAATGCACACAGATTGAGCACCACCTTTGGCCAAACGACAACACCCATTTTATTGGAAAAAATTTTCTGAATCCGAAAAAGTAGGTCTCCGATGTACCAGGCGGACAAAATTTTTGAGAAAAATGGCCTCAAAGTTCATGATTTTTGAATGACTATTCGTTTCTAGGTACAAACGGATGTGGACTAGAATTTGGGTTAAGTTAAAGAGAGTGGATCCCTTTTGATATCCGCCATCTCTAACACCCCGACAAGCCAACTCAACTCCTCCAACGTATTAGAGGGGAGTCCCTGTGAAATGATCGGCCTGTACTGCAGTTGCATAGACCCGGAAGATATGTATCTTTATTTACAGTAGTACAATAAGACGAATAGATTACAAATGAGTGTAAGGGGAAGAGGGGACTCCAAATGAGAGTCTTAATTGTCCTTCTAGGCTCCTCACTGTCCTTCTAGGCTCCTCACTGTCCTTCTAGGCAATCCTAAAGACCGCCCCTTCTCGGCAATAGAAGGGATAAGCACAGGGGAGGACACATTTGCATAAGGATAGACAAATCATTCAATATCAACAATAGTAACTAAAATATCAGTTTAGCTCGGAGCTGACATGACATGACATGTCCATTTTCGAGTTTTGGCGGTCGTACCAAAAAATTCTTTTAAGAAATGTTATTAATATAGCTATTTATTCGAACGCAACAATGAAATAGCCAAACACAAATTAACAAGAACAAGAACAACAACAACAACAACAACAACAACAACAACAACAACAACAACAACAGCAACAACAACAACAACAACAACTCTTGTATTAGTCACTCTTCGTACAATAATCTAATCTTTAGGCAAAAAGACATCAAATATCGAAACTCAAATACTCTAAAAACCTCAACTCATTCAGTCCATATAGTATCGAGCTGGTGCTGTGGTCAAACATTTAAACGAAGCAGAAATCCCTTTTTTTGCCACTGTATATTTGATGTGCGGAGTTGCAGAAATGACTGTAATCCTTTCAAGCAAAGAGTGAGAGAAATGAAGTAAACTATTTGCTCAATAAATTCTCAAAATTCTGGCTTCAAGGACTCTGTTTGTGTGCCTTAAGAAATCGTTGGCTATTTGTGGATGCCCTTTCACGAAAATTTGCCAAAGTTTGAAGAGCAACAAATCAAGGCTGAAATCTTTTCAAATTGCAAATGCAGATCCGCGTTTGTTTTTTACAAGGTGAGAGAAATTGGTCACGGAATAAATTTCTTGTCGTTGAAAAGTCAACTTTTAGACCAAAGTTGATGGAAAATTGTAAGAAAATCAAAACCAAAAGGAGAAAATCAAAGAAGACATGTGCCAAGTGTTTTTAGTTGATTGGAAAAAGATTTTCCTTGCATATTCTAATTTAGCACCAATTTATTCAGATACTCATTGAATTGGAAAATGGAATCATTCATTGAAACGGAGAAAATGATTGTCAATAGGTGGCTGTCACCAAAAAAATTTTCTAAGGAATGATATTAATATAGAAATTTATTCGAACGCAACAATGAAATAGGCAAACACAAATTAACAACAAGAACAACAAGAACAACAACAACTCTTGTATTAGTCACTCTTTGTACAATAATCTAATCTTTAAACAAAAAGACATCAAATGATCGCATCCGTTTCCTTCCTATTTGCGTTCCTATTTTGCAATTATTCGCGTCGCATTTTTCCTTTTTCTCGCCTCCGAAAGAAATGTTTTTTTTTGGTCGGCGGGTGGTTTTTGCTTTCTTTTCTTGTTGGGACTTTGTTGTTTCATTTTGATGCGCATCCTGTTTTTGTATTGTTTCATTTTGGTTTTGTACTAATAAACAGTAAAATTATAAATTCAATTTACTTTATGCTACCCTTCAGGTTTTAAATCCTGTTTAGATAGCTGGTTTAACATTGTAGAAAGAACTTACTAACATTTGTGTCGCCACCGACGAGTATTAATCTTGTGTTGGATGCTGCGCGTTCTTGTTATGTTGTAAGCGCTTTGGGGAAACCCTTTTTAACCTTTTTGTGCTATTCTGAAGGCTATTCTGAAGCAAAGTCATCCTATTCTGAAGGAAAGTCATCCTATTCTAAAGCAAAGTCATCCTACTCTGAAGCAAAGTCATCCTACTCTGAAGCAAAGTCATCCTATTCTGAAGCAAAGTCATGATAAGGTTAAAGCGGGTCGCACCCCAAACTAAATATCGAAACACAAACACCAATCAGAGTCTCTAGTTTGTGATTGTTCTGCTTAAAAAAGCTTCACATTTTTCTTTGCTTCCGTTCACTATTTGAGGAGAAATTTTCATCAAAAAAAAGAAATTTGATAAGAAATGAGGGAAGTTCGCTTACACAAATCAATCTTTCAATAAGATTGATTGAGCTCAATAACAAGTCTATTAATTGAAACTATTCTGTGCAATATTTTGGCATTAGTATTTTACCAAAAAGCTATAGTTTTTGGGTCTTTCAATCATTCGAAACAATGATCGATTCAACAGAATCTCCATATGGTGAGTCAAGCTAGAAGTCAAGCTAGAAGTCAAGCTAGAAGTCAAGCTAGAAGTCAAGCTAGAAGTCAAGCTAGAAGTCAAGCTCTGCTTTTTCGATGTCTTTATTTCGAATCGGCCCAGATTGAGTTTTGAACATGAAAGATCTGACAATTGAGCTTTAAAACATGAAATTCTACTCTCTGTCTCGTTTCTGGAATCTTGTAGATGGTTTTTAGTAGCACTTGTTTGCGTGGGCATCGAAAAGAGTTTCGAAACAACTTTTCCGAGTTGTATAAACTTACTACAAGTTTCTAAAATGAGAAAATAAGTATCAAATAGTAGACACAGTTTATCGGACAAATTAGTGCAAAAGATAATCACAAAATCAACAGAATAGCTTAGGATTTCCTCAAAAATCTCAACTTATTCAGTTGATTTTGTTTTTCAACTAACTTTTCCGATAAGCAAAGCCTAGGTGGTACTGTGAATCGATTTCGAAATGAACGATTTCTTTGTTCACAATAAAAGTTTCTTACAAAGTAAAACGATTTCAAAAGAATAGCTTAGGATTTATTAGATTTAGATTCGGATTTGGATTTGGATCTGGATCTGGATTAGTAGAAACAGACTAGTTTCATCAAGAAATTTTTTGAAATGAAGTACGCTGACAAAAAAGTATAATCTGTTGAAAGTAAGTAGAAAAGTAAAGGTTAAAATACTCTGAATATAACACTTGTCAATTTCAATGGATACTTGTCAATCACTTGTCAATTAGATCATTTTCAGAAACATTTATGGAAGGATTCTGCCGTGACATTGGTTTGACTTTGGATTGGCTTTGGCTTGGCCTGACTGTGGATTGGCTGTGGATTGGCTTTGGATTGGCTTTGGCTTGACTCAACCGAGAAAATCGGCTCTTCGTCGATCCTTGATTGATGACGAGATCAGCCCGAAAATATTTTTCCAACAACATACATTAAATTAAAATCCCAATCAAAAGTCAAATGCGGCTCTTTATTCATTACAATCAAGGATGCGATGGGAGCCAATTGCACAAATCGCCTCGGTAGCACTTGTAGTAATTTCCTTTGAAGATATGCCAGCCTTCTATCTAAATCCAGCTTTTCTAAATTCTTTGTACAGTAAAAGCTTGAAGGATTCTATGAGGAAATTTCAATTCTGTCATTCTCTAACTCGACATTCAGCGAAAAATAAAACCTTGCACAAAACGCCGTTTTGCAAATCGCATCCACAGCCGGCTACACGCTTTTCCTGAAATATTTGCATGTGTTTTTAAACACTTTAACTCTTTCTCGAGATTCGATCTCTCCATAAGTCATATCAAGCTATTTTCTTCTATTGTTCTTTCTCTAATTCTTCTATTGTTCTTTCTTCTTTAAGGTCTCCTTTTTTGAGAGGAGAAAAAACAAATTCGTACTGATCTCTTTTGAAGAGGATCAACTTTCATCGATTATAGCTTTTCTATATTTTTGTTTCCTCCGTTGAAGCTCAAAAAGAAAGCTTGGCATTTTGAGTTCTGAGTTTGAGTTTAACTTCCCACCATTTGATTCTATTAGATAAGTATGGTAGTCATTAAGTTCACAGGGTTTGACTTAGCTATTGAGATTAATTGAGATCAATTGAGACATTTTGCATTACAATCAATTGAGACAGTTCGTATCTATCGCTTTTCCCCACATGATCGACGGAGTAGAGACAGAATTCACCGCACGTCCACGTGACAGCTTGTCCAGCATTGAATTGACATCGAATCGCAAGCTTCCCAGTGTAAAACACACGCTCCCCAGTGTAAAATCTCATCAACACTATCTATTTTTCTGTTTATTTCATGATGTCAGGCATGGCTTTCTTTGATCGCACTCTGAAATTGGACGAATTGCGATGGGTTTGTGGAAGTTTTTAGAAGGAATTTGGTTTAATTTCATGAATTTTGTGCTAATAATACGGTATTTCAAAACCCTTTGTGGTACTCTGTGGTTTTGTACCCAACACTGGAAACACAACACTTCCTGATGCAGCAAAGCTTCTTTTAAAGAAGGAACTATCTTCAGTTAGTGTGCCAAAAAGATTGTGTTTACATTTCTGCGCACTTGTACACTTGAAAGAACAATTTTTGTAGGTGCTTTTCAAATTTTATGAACAGTATCAACTCGAGCAATTTCTAAATTCACCAAAGCTTGGACCGGAATAGCACATTGTCGTAGAAGGTTTACCGGAAGCCGATGCACCCAAGAATCTCGCCAACCGTGAGAACGAGTGCCGATCGTCATTGGATTGATTCAATCCTTGCGTGTTATGATCTGGATCTGATTTGTAAGCACTTTCTTCAAAAGAAACCCATTCTGGTGTCAATAGAAAAGTTGTAGAGAACAACTTTCTTAGAAAAGATAGTTGGCATTAGTTCAACAAAGCCGGGTCGCGGGTCGGGTCAGCGGGTCACTTTTGACCCGTTTTATTCATGGCTTTATGTTCAATAAATTTTAGTTCAAAGTCGGGCAGTTTTCAATTCACCAACCCAATACAACTAATTTCAGGACTGAAAGCTTTTATTTTACAAACACAAGATTTAATTACACAAGTTTGAGGCTACAAAGCGACTACTAGTGATCAAGAAAAATGCTGATAAGGAGCAATCTGCACTCACTCACTACATCCTCTTCCAATCGAGCCATCAAAACCCCTATTTTTGAGGACATCGACCTAGCGAAGAAGCTTGGACCTGAATAGCACATTGTCGTAGAAAGTTTACCGGAAGCCGATGCGCCCAACAATCTTGCCTAGAAGGAGTGCCGATTGTTATTTGATTGATTCAATCCTTGCGTGTTATGATCTGGATAACGTCATTGTTCTTTCAGTGTTCATTTCACAAGCTCAATGCTAATTCCATTAGTTCAAAATGTTTATTGGTGTCGGATTTCACTTTGAATGCACTCTGGCGCCTTTTTTGATCATAAAACTTCAGGCTGGTCTGTCAAGGAAGATCGTCGATTGCTCACTACTCAGTGGACAAGTTTCAAAACAATTTTTAACGGATGACAGTTGTTGAAAGCAAGGGTTCATAAAAATCTCATTTCAAAAGTTTGCGTACATGTTCAGTAAACCAGAACTGTTCTACAAGTGTTCCAGAATTACTAGATTGTTCAGGTTCAGTCCAGTCCAGACCAAGCTCAGTCTAGTGACCTGACTAGACTCAACGAATTCATGTCTACATGCAACAGTATCCAGCTACGGTATCTATTAACTATCACACTAATGATTGTGGTTCACTTTCTACAGTATTCTTACTCGCTTCCATTTCCAACGTTGCCATCGACCATTTGAGTCCAAACTCCCCACTGATCCCTATTGTAAAAACAAATTTTGTCCCTGAACTCTTTCGTTGATCTCTCGTAGTCACGTGATCATCTCTAAGTGCTAGTTCATTGCAAAATAAAAGGCTTTCCCAAATAAGCTCTCAGTTTTTAGCTTTGAATCAATTCTATATAGCAAAAGAATTTTTTTGAACAGCTCAGTAGTTGAAATGACTCACTTCAACTCTCAGCAAAAACGCTTTGCGATAAGATAAAATCTGTCGAATGTCAAGGAGTCGAATGTTAAGCGTTTATTTATAGTGAGTCCACATAAAATCTAGACAAATCTCATCAACGAAAAACAAGTATATCCTGAGTTGGATTATGTCTAAATGATGAAAACACGTGAAATGGGTAAATGCGATAGAACAGTTGACAGTTGAAAGACAAATAAAAATGACAGTCAAATCTTCCTAATGCAGTTGCTTGTTTGAAAGTCAGTGCAAAACAAGGTGTTAAAGCCGAGGGATTATTGGCGGGGCGTCTGATACAAGACCTTTATTTGCTAGATCACAGCTGCACTGGTTGAACACGTGAGGGACTTTATAAGGTAAGTGCTAAAACTTCCGTGCCAAATATCTTGCGTTAGGGCGAACGAGGGCAAAAGTTATATACATATTCGTGAACGGCATGGTCAAATCTATAAGATCCATTCGGTCTCAGCAAGGGGGGCACCGCGGGTCACTCCGAATGTACATCAGAGACAAAGTAACCAGAGTGCAAGACATGTTTGAGCTCTCTTTTGCAGTCGAAATTCGATTTAACGAGCTTGAATGACTTTGGAGGTAATGTTCAGGAGGGTTGAGTTTAAAAGCCAATGTGATTTCGTTAAATCGAAGGAACTAGACTTGAACCTGACTTGGCAAACGATGAAAAACCGAGAAAATTTTATGGAAAACACTACTTTTTAACCGTCCGACAGCTAGCTCGAAAGCCAAAACATCTCAAATGTAGGCATACAACAAAGTTCTGAATTCTAAAACACTCATCTACACATTGTTAGCATAAAATGCACGACTGGCAGAGCTGCGATGATGCTCGCTCTCAATTTTTTGATACGAAGCATTGTAGTATCGATAGGAGATTTTGTGATGATTGATGGTGGCCAAAGCATTCGTCATATTGTTCCCCTTTCTTCGATGTCCACACCAATATCTGAGAGTGATTCCAATCAGAAAAGCGAAGGTCATGAGCAGCGACAAGACAACGAATCGAATCACTTGTGGGTCAGTGACGAATTTCTTGAGGAGTGTTCCTGAAATTTGAACATTCAACGATCCGCTCCACTTTTTGCTTAAAGCTGAAAAAATTGAGCTTTCGATTACCGTAAATGCTGTATTAGAATGAGAATTTAATTCTATTTTTTCAGCCCTCAAAATCGACCGATCCGAACGACCGATATTTTCTTTCCCTCCACCTTTTTGAATTACCAAAAAAAAATCCATGTTGAAGACCCTAATGATTTTTTCAAAAATAGCGTTTAAAATTTTACTGCCGACAAAATATTAGTAGGTTTTAGGTCTAAATCTATCCCATAGAATCCCCACAAGGAGGTCTAAAGTCTAGTTTTCGAGCTCGAGAGGGGTCAAGGAGTGTCATTCTATTATATTTACAACTTGAAAGTTTGTACACTTATTGATTGCACTTTTTAGAAATAACTAGTGCAGCAAATAATCTACACTTTTCACCAATAAAAAGGCTCATTTATTCTCTAAAACTTGCGTTTGACAGATTTGGAAAAGCTTCGTTTTTCTAGGGGGTAAGAAGTTGAGCAGCCAAAAATGATGAAAACTCGATGAAGTAATTTGAGCACTTTCTTTCACATAAACCTATCTTGGTGTCAATAGGAAAAAGAAAGAGCATAAAAAGTTAGATAAATAGACAAATTTACAGCTAGATATAACCAATCATTTCTTTGATAGTTCAATTTGAAGAATTTTCAGAAAGACTTTGAATTTTTGCTCAAATTCCTTTCAAAAGTTTCGCGAATTTGTTTAAGCATTGCTTAGATTAGATAATATATAGCTTTTATTTAGAGAAGTCTAATTCATTTGGCGTATTAACCCATTCGAAACCGCAGCGTTTTTTTTTTGTCTACGGACCAAGCCATTTTTTGACATTTTGACTCCGCAGCAGTTTATTTATGGTTGGAAAGATGTAAGGGAGTCTTCTATACCATTTATTTTTGATGAAGAAAGATGTAAGGGAGTCTCCTACACTATTTATTTTTGATGAAGAACGATTTGGATTTGACTTCAGTACTTTTCAAGATCCTATCGATTATTGCTCTTATTTTATCGACGACAATATTTTAGTAGGCGAATCTAATAAACATGGAAACAGGAAAACAAACTGGCAGAATTTCGATGCAAAATCTTTTAAGCTCTTCCTGGCTTCAAATGGGAATCGTCAAATTACCGAGGATTCGTGAATACTGGAGTAGCAGGCCTGGATTAGGAGGATTTTCCCACATGTCCCACATTATGTCAAGAGAAAAATTTGAATCTATTCTTGGCAACCTGCGTTTTTGTGATAATGAACTGGATCCTGCAGGAGATCGGCTTTATAAGATTAGAGCTATTATGGAACATTTCAATGCAAAACCAGAGACTGCATTGGTTCCGGGAAATATGGAACATCTTTTTTGCCCACGTAATTTGTAGATCTGCTACAATTGGAATATACATGTAATGCTGAAAAACAGCAAAAAAAAAGCAATTAATTGAATGAAAATAGCTCAATCGCTGCAGCGGTCCTTTCCTGAGTTTTTGTTGCAGCGATTATTCGCTGCAGAAGTTTCGAATGGGTTAAATATGTTTTATGGAAAAGACGAAAAAGTGACGTTACTAACTTTCAAGTGACGAATCTAATACATTATTTTATATAGATGCTTTATTTTAGGGGGGCCAATAGAGGCAAATCAGATAATCATAACCGCTTGTAACATATTGCAGGTAACATGACCGATGGTGATTGAATCACTAGCGGCTAACCGATGGTAATTCAATCACTAGCGGCTAACCGATGGTTTCAATCACTAGCGGCTGAAAATCACGAGCGGCTGCGACATATATAATATAGATACTTTATTCAGGGGCGAATAGAAGCGAATCCGATAATCATAACCGCATGTAACATATTGCTAAAATACTTTCACCAAAAAAAAGAGAGAAAGTCTTACTGTACTAAAGATAGTACAGTAAGACAGTTACTGTACTAAAGATAGTACAGTAAGACTACAGTTAGGAAACACAGGAAAAACAGAAACACAAAAAGATTAAATATAGGGCAGATTTGACATGGCAATAAGATCTAATTCGTTTACAGATACTTTCAATTTTCCTACAGACGAGAAGATACCAGACGGGAGCTTATTCCAAACTCTTCCAATACGGTTCACAAAAGAATGATAAAGGGAAAGATGATGGGGATGAGAGCCGACCGAAATTTGATCAGGATGACTTCTACGGATTTCCACGATTTTCTGCTCACTGGGTCCCTCTTTTGAAATCGTTTTACTTTTTAACAAACTTTTATTGTGAACAAAGCAAAGATTTCGAAATTGATTCACAGTACCACCTAGGCTTTGCGTATCGGAAAAGTTACTGTAAATACTGTAATAGTACCCCACCCCCCCGTACAGTCGCGTAGTCGCAAAAGTTTTTTAGTATTTCATTTTTTTCAAAGCGCCCGTACTTTCAAAAAAATGCGTCTTTAATATCAAAAAATAGCCCTGAATTTCAGCTATTTTTTGATATCTAAGTGTAGCAATCATTGTAGCATAAACCAGTGTCGAGAAAAACTCGTTCAAAGCTAGACTACGCAACACTCCGCACCGTCATTATGGGGGTGGAGTACTATTACAGTATTTACGGTAACTGAACAACAATGATTCTTTCGTTTTAAATTTGAAAAACTTTTTTAATGTCTATTAAAATCGGGTTTCTGATTTCTCAAAACCAAGAACATCACAAATAACTTTAATCATAACTTTAATTCTAACTTTAATCATAACTTTAAAAGCTTCTCATTCCATTCCAAGCATCGATAACTAGTCATAATGTATGCAAGAGCAATATTTTGAGTAAACAATCCATCGCATTTCCCATAGATTGTTGTCCTTGAATGGGGAGAAGGTTAAAACGAGACAACGAGTTAATAGCCCTGAATCTCAGCTATTTTTTGATACCTAAGCGCGCATTGTAGCATAAACCAGTGTCGAGAAAAACTCGTTCAAAGCTAGACTAAGCAACACTCCGCACCGTCATTGTGGGGGTCGGGTACTATTACAGTATTTACGGTAGTTGAAAAACAAAATCAACTGAATAGGTTGAGATTTTTGAGGAAATTCTATATTATTTGTTGATTCTGTGGCTATCTTTTGCACTAATTTGTCCGATAAACTGTGTCTACTATTTGATACTTGTTTTTTCATTTTAGAAACTTGTAGTAAGTTTAAACAACTCTTTTCGATGCCCACACAAACAAGTGCTACTAAAAATCTATCTACAAGATTCCAGAAACGAGACAGAGACTAGAATTTGATGATTTAAATTGGCAAATCTTTCGTGTTTAATACTCAATCTAGGCCGATTCGAAATAAAAACATCGAAAAAGCAAAACTTGACTCACCATATGGAGATTCTGTTGAATCGATCATTGTTTCAAATGATTGAAAGACTCAAAAACTATAGCTTTTTGGTAAGATCCTAATGTCGAAATATTGCACTGAATAGTTTCAAATCATAGACTTGTTATTGAAACATTTATTTGTGTAAGCGAACTTTTTTCATTTCTTATCAAAATTTTTTTTGATGAAAATTTCTCCTCAAATCGTATAGTGAACGGAAGCAAAGAAAAATTTGAAGAACAAGCAGAGCAGAACAATCACAAACTAGAGACCCTGAGACTAGAGACTTTGGAGAGTCAAAAAGGGTGGAGGGAAAGAAAATATCGGTCGTTCGGATCGGTCGATTTAGAGGGCTGAAAAAATAGAATTAAATTCTCATTCTAATACAGCATTTACGGTAATCGAAAGCTCAATTTTTTCAGCTTTAAGCAAAAAGTGGAGCGGATCGTTGAATGTTCAAATTTCAGGAACACTCCTCAAGAAATTCGTCACTGACCCACAAGTGATTCGATTCGTTGTCTTGTCGCTGCTCATGACCTTCGCTTTTCTGATTGGAATCACTCTCAGATATTGGTGTGGACATCGAAGAAAGGGCAACAATATGACGAATGCTTTGGCCACCATCAATCATCACAAAATCTCCTATCGATACTACAATGCTTCGTATCAAAAAATTGAGAGCGAGCATCATCGCAGCTCTGCCAGTCGTGCATTTTATGCTAACAATGTGTAGATGAGTGTTTTAGAATTAAGAATTTTGTTGTATGCCTACATTTGAGATGTTTTGGCTTTCGAGCTAGCTGTCGGACGGTTAAAAAGTAGTGTTTTCCATAAAATTTTCTCGGTTTTTCATCGTTTGCCAAGTCAGGTTCAAGTCTAGTTCCTTCGATTTAACGAAATCACATTGGCTTTTAAACTCAACCCTCCTGAACATTACCTCCAAAGTCATTCAAGCTCGTTAAATCGAATTTCGACTGCAAAAGAGAGCTCAAACATGTCTTGCACTCTGGTTACTTTACTCTGATATTGACTCTGACTTTACTCATTTCACGTGTTTTCATCATTTAGACATAATCCAACTCATGATATACTTGTTTTTTTTATGAGATTTGTCTAGGTTTTATGTGGATTCACTATAAATAAACGATTAAAGGATTTGCAAAGAAAAACCCCGGCTCTTAGCAAATTTTATCTTATCGCAAAGCGTTTTTGTTGAGAGTTGAAGTGAGAAAGTGAATCATTTCAACTATTGAGCGGTTCAAAAAAAATTCTTCTGTAATATAGAATTGATTCCAAGCTAAAAACTGAGAGTTTATTTGGGAAAGTCTTTTATTTTGCAATGAACTAGGACTCAAAGTCGATCAGAACATTCTATCTATCAGAATTCTATTTATTAGAATTCGATTTATCAGAATTTTATCTATCAAAACATTCACAAAAAGTTAACCCAATTTTCGTTGTTTTGAACTTCTTCAAGTCAAAACACTTCTCCAACTCTGTCAACGTCGCCAAATTTGAAATGACTTTTGAAAAAAAGAGTCGAATCAATGTATTTTCATATCGAAAAACTGGTTTATTGTTGATTTCGACGATTTTTGGAGCCACTCTTTTCATACATTGTGAGTCGAATTGAGATGCGAAACGATTTGAACTTGAAAAAAAAGCCCTAAATCTTCCTACACAGAATCAGAGTTGACGTACTTTTTGGGAATTTGGGAACTTTAAAATACACAAATCAATTCCTATGCTCGGCTTATAAAAGCGAAATGAAATCACTGTCAATTTCAGTTTTCCGAGCCAATCTTTTTGACAACGGAAAAGAGCCAAAAAAACAGGTAATAACGGTGAAATTTGAGTCCAGGAAAATCAGTGCAAATTTGAAAATGATTGCAAAATGAAACTTTTTCTCCTTTAAAATAGCAAATCAACATTATTTCATTAAAAAAACGGTACTCCTTTCAGCTACAAAAGCCGTTTTTTAGGCAAATATTTGTTCCTTCATATGCAAATTTTCATTAGCAGCAGTTCTTCACTGGCCGCTCTTGCAATTAACACATTCAAATTTGCATTTATTCATATTTGACAGCCACCATCTTTCCTCGAGACAACACCAAGTGTAGTCAAAATGAGCGATATGCTAATGCTTTATATGCAAACGATCAGTGTAATCGAATACAGTCGAAACGCTCTATAAAGACATGTCGAGGAGTGTCGCGACAACCCTCTCACTGTCGTTGTGTAGAGGTGTCGTTGTACAGAGACTAAAACTTCAAACTTCCAAGCGATGACATTATGTAGAGGTTTTGGTAGGTTATGTAGAGGTTTTGGCATTTTTTTTCTCGCCAAAACACGTTCTTCTGGGCTAGTTTTAGATGTAAATTCCGAATTTCACAAAGAGAAGTTGAGAAAAAAACGAGTTTTGTGGTCGTAAAGCCAGCGTCTCTATTAGAGTGGTAGGAATGAAACCAACGCTGACATATCTTTCCAAAAAAGATCGCAAACCTTAGCCAATAAGTGTTATTTACTTTCCGAAAGCCCTGAATCTCCTCTACAAAATAGTGCAAAAAGTTTTTGAAATGGATTTTTTTTAGGGATTTTGGTGGCTTTTAAGTTGAAAGGTCAAAAATGAGCATTTTCTGGAAAATGTGTTTCTGTTAGTAGCCATGCCCGGGTTTTCCCTTAGAAAATACCGCAAAGTAAAGTTATTTCAAAATAAAATAAAAGAAAAGCACTCCTTTTGTTTGTTTGTCTTCTAGAGTTTAATATTTGTTTTTCGATAAAAGATCAAAGTCAAAAACGGGTACTTTCAACTTTCGGCTCTCATATCTCGATAGAATCTAAGTTAGTCGTTTGAGTTTTGGTATAAATATTGAATAATTTATATCCTTAATGTCATTATAGACAATTTCAAATGTAGTACCAAAAAGGCTTTAGATTGTACTGCAAAACTTCCTCGCAACTCGGGACCCTGAAGCGAATGGACGAAATTTGAGAAACCCAAATGGTTAGTTATGCATTTTTACGAACAAAACGAGTAACTGATTGATTGATTGCAATTCAATTTCAATATCAATCCACGTTTCAACGTTCAGAAATCTTTCTCAAGTACATCTATCAAAATTGGAACAAAGCTGCCCTCTTCGTGCTTATTTCATTGATTGTTTTGATGCTGTTGAGCTTCTTTTTATTGGGATACGATGAGCAACAAGGAGTTGAAAGAAATTGGGAAAAGAATTTCGCAAATTTCACAAAATTGAGAAGAAGAAGAAACGATTTTGAAGAGGCACTTTTGAGTGAGGAATAAGTTGAATAAATTCTCGATGAGTTGTTAGTTCGATGGCCAAAAAGAAGTACAAAAAGAGGTTCAAAAAGAAACTTATTCAGCTGGTCGACTTATAATTCAACTTATAAGCCCTGAAAATGCAAATATCGTCTTTTCTCTAATAGTAGTGCACCCAGAGCGTCGCCTAAATTGCTCGAAATCTCGAGAACCGCTGCTCAGAACCTATCGATGTGGGAATGTAGCTGACGATGAGATCTAGTGGGGGAAGTGTTGAGCTTCTGCGAAAGCCTGGAAACCGTAAAATAGTCACCAACTCGGCTCGCCGGGGTGCACTACTATTAGAGAGAATACGGTAGATACCGCACCCTGTGCCACATCTCTATACTTTGTTGTGACTCCGAAAAGCCCTTCAGTCTCGTAAGATCTTAAGCTTCTTTTAAGAGAATTTCACGAATTTTCAATTACATCAAAGTGACCGCAAACTTTCTTAGATAGCATGTTCCGTTAATTTCAATTTAATTTGTTAATTCAATTTGTGAATTCAATTTACACTCAAATGACAATTCACCCATTAAATACAAAAAAAGATATTTCCAAATTCAGAACTTTAAATTTCGAAAGAGAAAAAGCAAAAAGATTGATGAAACTACATGCGGAGTAACACTCAAACAATTGTGTCACCTGGGTAATTCTGGTGTTCTAACTCCATCCTGGAGTTTTTGTTATCGATTAAGGGATTTCCCACATCTACACAGCACGAAAATGCCCAAAGAAAAGTTTAATTCATAACGACTTTTAGGATCAGTAAGAGAAAATGATGGAGACTTCACAAAGTCGACTGATCACCATTATTGTCTTAAATTTTAAATCATTTCTTACCTCCTCTCTTTCCTTCCTTCCTTCTTTCTTTCTTCCTTTCTTTAAGCTCTTTTACTCAAACCCTTCTGTCTTTAATCGTTCAATCTGATCGGCTCAATGAATTCACTGTGTTAACCATTTCTCTGAACTTCACTGGTCATCGCTCAAAGTGAGTAATAATTGTTGGGTTTAGATTTATTAAAATCTAAATGCAAAACAATTTTCAGTTCAACCAGATGTTTTACAACAATAAAACGATCAACGACCAAATCGAAAGCCGAAACAGCCACAAGATTGGCAGGTTAGTTTATGAGTTAAAGCTTGTATTACAAGTAAATTACAAGTTTGTAATTGACTTGAACAAATTAGAAAATTTCTGAACGAATTTCAGCAAGAACCTTGCAACTGCAAACCTATCTGATCCCCATTCTGTTCATCGCCGTCATTTCCATCTTCGCTTGACTGCAACAAAGGTTTTTCGTTGACTCGGAAAGCGTTACACTTGTTGAGAAACAACTATTGGGATGCATTTTGGAAAGAGTTTAGAAAAGATAAAAAAAAAGATATTTCTTAGAGTTAGTAAAATCGAAAATTAGTCTGAGGAAGATTTAGCTATTGGCTAAGATTAGCGATAGTTTTTGAATCTTAGAGGGAAGATTTGGGTTCGTTGGCTTTCAGTGAGTGATAGAAGAGACGGGATGATGAGGGGAGAAGCTGTGAGTAGGAAGTCTGTAGTTGAGAAAGTCTGTAGGAAGGTAGTTTGTACGAAGAAAGTTTGTAGGAAGTCTTAGAGGTTCTCTGTAACTCTTGGACTTGTTGAGAAACAGCTATTGGGGTGCACTTTGGAAAGAGTTTAGAATTGTTATAGAATTGTTTATTATTGTTTGTAAAACAAACTCAATTTCAAATGAGTAACAAGTCTAAAACATTTAAAAGTGCGTGTGTGTGTGTGTGTGCCGCTAAAATACACTCATAAACACAAGATGGACTTCAAAAGAAAACTGTTGGATTAAAAGCTTTCGATTTTGAGTATCACATAGACAAAAGTGTAGAGATACATTATGAATCTCTTGAAATCTCGTTGAGGAACATGCGCTATTGTACTTTAAAGCCGTTAATGGTTTTCACAGGATTCGTTGTTAATGTTTTTCCACCTTCTCCAATCAAATTACTAGAATCTGAAGGAATTAGTCAATGAAAGGACAAAGTTTGCTTTCTGTTGTAAGATGCGCGTATCATCACTCCTGTCTCTCGCCAAGCCCTTCCGCCCATCCACAACTCTTATCACAAACTTCGGAATTGTCATTCTTTATTCTATAATTTGATTGATTCATTTCATTTCATTTCATTTCATTCATTCGTATTCACCCCAAAAATGAAACTTCTCCTCTGTTTGCTTGTTTCAATTCTTGTAATTGGATATCCAGGTAGGATTTATTAATACAATTAATGACTTTGAAGAGAATTAGTCAATGAAATCAACATTTACGAAAGATTTAGTCGATTCACCGATCGTCGGAATGAATGACCGAAAAACTGAAGCACTGCGTAATGGAATTGGTAAGTTTTAAAGCACACTTTCTTATTCAAATCAGCTACATCCTCCAAAGTTTACTCAAAATTATACACTACTGCACAATGAAATATGATATTTGAAAAAAGGTCGTCACTTTCGCGCTTTTATAACTCCCTTGTCTTTACCGTATTTCTAAATATTAATATTACCATTGTGTAGCCCTTGAAAAGAGCTTTCAGAAAATGCATAACACTAATAGTTTAAACTCAAAGACAAGGGAGTTACAGACGCGCGAAAGTGACGATCGTTTTTCAAATATCATATTTCATTGTCCAGTATTGTATGTAAGCGATTTTAAAGTAGGAAAATGTATGTAGTTGCTTTTACAGGGTGTCCCAAAATTATGGAGCGAAAATTCGATCATTAGCTTTTGTTAATTTTCAAGAAATTTTTATCGATACCGTAATAATTCTAATAGAAGACCATGGTCTTCTAATTTTCAACACCCCAAAATTGATCGGTCAAAAAAGTAGGTAAGGGTCCCCTACATAAATCAAAAAAATTAAAAATTGTTAAAAACTATTTCAAACGAGAGCCCTTGGCCCAAAACATGCCAAAAACATGTCTAAAAGTGAAATTATTTTCTTGCCCGGACTCCATAGAAAATCTTTCAAAAAAAATCCATGTGGGGGACCACATAAAATTTTTTCCAAAAAGTTATTTTTTAGTTTTTTCAAAAACTACGTCTCCAATTTAACTGCCGAGGCTAAAATATTACTATCTGGACCCAAATCTATCATTCTACTTCAAAAGAAGTTTTTAAAAGTCCCGATTTCAAGGGGTCAGGGGGTGGTCTTCTATTAGAGACTGGTCTTCTATTAGAATTATTACGGTACTTTAAAAATCATTCAAACAATGGCTGAACATAACAAAAATAGGTAATTGTCGGTGGTTGTACATCCACAGAGACTCAACTCGCAACCTTCTTTCGCAACCTTTTTTCGCCCACCTCCTTCGATCGATCTTCCAATTTCTCAGTCCTAATCGAACTTTGTGGCGCTTGATTGCTTTTGAAACCGTCTGGTGGGGCAGGTGCAAAAGTCGTGAAATCTTGATCACCGATTTGCGAACATCACCGACATCACCTGTGAGAGTCGAACCATGGCTGGTCGCAAATGCAATTGTGATTTCATCTTCATTCAATTGTCATTTCAATCGCATTTGCGACCAGCCATCGTTCGACTCTCACAGAATGGCACAGGATGGCTTTTGCACATGCCTCACCAGACACGTGTCTCAAAAGCACAAAGCGCCAAAAAAAAGACTGCAAAATTGAAAGATCGATCGATGGACGCGAGCGAAAGAAGACTGCAAAAGAAGAAACAAAAGAATGTTAGTCATAAGCAAGAAAAAGGACGAAATAAAACAAGAAATCTGTCTAAAACAGGATCCGCTTCATAATTTTGGGACACCCTGTATAGAGTAGACTAAAAGCTTGAAATAAGAAAGCTTTTGCGATCAAATTTCTGCGATCTGATCCCGGTTTTCTCAACATCGATCACTTAAGTCTAGCTTAAGCCTAGCTTAATTCTGGCTGAATGTACTGAAATTTTTCTAAAAATACTGAATATTTAGTCAGACTTGAGCTAAGTTGATGTTGAGTCGAGTCGGCTCGGATACACTAACTAACTTGCTTCTACAAGTCAAATCAAGAACTGAGTTGACATGTAGAAGGTTATGAGCATAACTAATGAAATATTTACAGAGCCAATCCTCGAACTTCTACGCCAGTGTTGGGATCATCCGAAATGTACTTATCTCTATCCAATCACCCTTTTTTTCTTCGCTTTACTCTTTTCGTTTGCCATCTACAAATGTGCTCAAAAAAGAAAGCCAATCAATGGACAAGCAGCAGAAAACGAAGCTTTTTGTGAAGTCTGTTGAAGTAAGAGCTCATAAGATTCAAACGATTATAAGAGAATTCGAGAGTTTCACTTTCAGAGCTTCACTTTTCAGTTTCACTTCTAGCAAAAGATTTAGAACTTGTAGTCAACTAATCTTATCAGTTAGATAAAATTAAATGTTTTTTTTGCATCAATTTAAATTCAATTGCTTCTAGGGTATCAATTCGATTCGTTTCTTTGTTTTCTTTGAGCTTATCTTTTTGACATTAAATATTGACATTCTATTCAAAATTTGACATTTCTCTCCCATCATAATGCATCATAATGCTCACCGGTGAACCCATTTTGCATATTTGGATCGTTTCTGATGCATTTATTGTTGTTTCTTTTTTGATTTCGATTCTATGTAGATAAATCACTTTTCTGCCAATGCCAATGAACGAATAAACGCTCGATATTATTATTTTATTGTCTACAAAAGTTCAACACACCGGACTAGTGCCAAACAAAATTGGTGGTCCAAACCCAACAGTCCAAACCCAACAGTCCAAACCTCTTCATGTCAACTCATAGATTTCGATCTCATCTCCAAGTCAGTTTTCACAACCAGTGGGAACCGGACAGTGTGGCCAACATAGTCCGGTGAACATTTTGGTGGAGAAACTCGACATCGACACCCGACAAACTGGAAAAAGCACCAACAAGGAGAGCAATTTCGGAACGGCTAAACGAGGTATTCCCGGATTTGTTCATGTCCGAAAAGAACAGAGTTTTGAGTCGAGTCATGCCACAGAGTCGTAGAGACTGAAAGCAATTGAGACAAAGACCGCAAAGGCCCGACAGCGCCTTTCACCACTATCGCCTATGACTCCAACATCAGGCACACAGACACAGTGGCTCTCCCCTTGTCCACCCTCACCGTCAGCCCGGAAGAAAAAGAGAAAGAGAGCAAAAGCCCGAGCAAAGAGAACGCACAGTTCCCAACCCTAGAATGAAAGAAGGGAAGATCCCGCAAAGAAGCCCACAGCCATCGCTCCTCGACCGCTGACCTTCGTCATAAAGGGATCCTGAGTGTCGCTCACGGCATCCGACATCTCCCATCTCACCCCTCCACAACAAGGCAAAAGAAAAATCCCCACAGAAATGTCAGGGTTCATTCGAGCAAAATTCACAAAACTCGTGAACAAATACAAAGAGTACGCAGCCAAGGTGAACGTCAAGGTGAACGATCAAACAGTGATCAAAGAAAATCTTCAATCGACCAACGTGCAAAGAGACCCAACAGGCATCACCGCACTCAAGGAAGTTGTTTTCGAGAAGAAGACTTCAAAGAGCAACAAAGTTGACGATCAATGCTCCCCTGCTTCCTACCTATCAGTTTATCTTAGGTGGTGAGTTAAACGCGGCGACAGCCAAAACGAGCGTCTCTCTATTTGGATCAGAGGGAGACCAACCCGCACGATCCATCAGAAAAAGCTGGGGCGGGCCAGGAAATGCTCGCAATGTTTTCGCGATGAACACCAATATGAGTTCTTCCATCGGCCTTTCTAACGATTTGCATATTTCTTAGAAGCTTCTCTCATTCAATCAGAATTCAATCGGTAAAATTCTATGTGAATTTACTAGGATTACAGGAAATTCACTAGGATCACAGTGAATTTACTAGGATTACAGGAAATTCACTAGGAATAGGATTACAGTGATTCTTAGTGAATTCACAAGATTCCTAGTGAATTCTTCAAGGAAAATGCTAAAAAAACAAAATTCTCCTTCGCGATCAAATAATGTTTAATAGGTGGATTTGAGTGAAGAAACGCCGAAGATCAAGTGTATTCCTATTTGAAAGGAGCGAAGAATCGATACGTGATCGCCACTTTTCGAATCGAGTACAACGTGTGTTTTGGAACCCTCCCGGCCATACTTGATTCATTACCATTACGAATTCTCCGAATCACCACAGCCTATCAGGGATTTGGCTTTATTCTATAGCCTGAAACTCATCAAGAGTTTTTGAGGTTATCTGATTTTATCTAGTTTGACGTTGGTGAAATTCAAATCTGATTCAATTCCAATTCAATTCCAATTCCAATTCAAAAGTTATGATAATAAAATAAGATTAAGGAACTTCACTATGAGCTAGGTTCAACTTCACTATGGGCTAAATGCTCTCAAAGTTATACCCTCTTTGTAGACTCTAGAAACGATTATTCTTATTGTAAGTTTTAGCTTTTAAAGGAAATCATCTATTCGTTCTCGTTCGATCCTCGCTGGCACCTTGACGAACACTAGCCCGAAAGTGACACGTGGTCACCGACTGGTGTTCAAATGGATTTGCGGCGATGATGGAAACGTTGTGAACATGGAAACGTTCAATCTGGCTGATCTTCAATTCATTTCTTATACTCCTTTAAAGAGAGATCACCCAGTAATGCTTTGATGCTTCTCTGAGAAAGATTTCTTGACATTCTAGACATTTTTCATAGATTTACAGTATTAATAAACTCTTATTTGTCATTCATCAAAAAGCACTTTATGGATGTTTCAACTTTTTTTTGAAGAGTTCAAGAAAAACAAATTTTCAATCGAGTTTCTTGATGATAAACTCAAAAGTTGTCCATTAACTCTGAAAATTCTCGGGATAGAATCGCCATGAAGTGCCGGAATAACAGGAAGCAAACCACTGACACGTTGATAGTCTTTTAGTAAGAAGCAAAAATTCGGTTACTCATCTATTGACCAGAGTCGAATCAGCGACCCTCAAATCCTTCGACCGACTCTCTACTGATTGTTTAGACTGGCACCACAATAGGATGACTAGAACAATAAAATTTGAACAAGTTCCCTAGTGGAATCGAACTCTGGGCTCTTGGATTCTTTACTAGCACTTCACCGCCATGGTTTTGAGATTTTAAACTCGCCAAAGGGATATCAGATTGAGAGGAAGAAAACCTGTGACACATAGATAGCCACACAGATATCAGCCAAACGGCAATCGTCCCACTGTAAATTTTTCTTCGATCAAAGAAGACAGAACAACAAATCTCTTCTTCGCCAATATTATGATTTAGACAGAAGTGCCGATTGTTTCATTGTGAAACGAAAGGTTTTCGTGCGTTTGATGGGCAGTTCCCGGACGATATGATAAATGGAGTTCCCGGATGATAAATCCTGGAGATTTGCTCGAGTTGAATGTTTTGAGAGACTACGCGCAAGAGTTGGCGTTGGGCATTTAACCTCCGACAATCATTGATCCAAGCTTTGCGTTTGGCAACCATTGACGAGCGGTTTAAACTGGTTTCCGGCAAGACTTTTCAATGTATTCCACGAAGCCGTCTAATCATTCATCAAATGATTATAGAGGGTTCATTTATTTGTGCATTTATATAGCAAAATAGAAGTCACAAAATCCAGCTTAAAGATTTACTTGTCCTGACTGGACAATCACATTTCAGTCATCTTCAGTGCCTCCATGCTACTGTCGAGATGACCAAATTGTCTCCTCACCGGAGACAATTTGGTCATCTCGACACAGATGGAAGTTTCGATGTGCATATGGGCCCAATAGAATAAGTAATAGGCAAATGAAGGACAGAGGGGCTCAGCCGTGCTCAGCCGCCCATTAGGGATTTCCCTGGATCGGGTCACATCAAGTCGAGTTCATCATGAATAGTCAGAATGATCAATCTCTTCCCCTTTTATCTTGTCTTCTCCTCGATGGTGTGGCGCTCAATCACAGACAGTTAGATCTCTTCGGGAAAGCTTCTGTCTGTTTATAATCGATTCATTTTCTCTCTTTTCTCTCTTTTGAGTTTCTTTAGGTTATTCAAACAAGGTTTTGTGCCATCAACGCCAGCCCTTACAATCGTTCTCGGCAACCTGGAGAGCTTTTCTCCCAAAAGCTAAAGGTCATGGCTCGAGTTTGTTTGTACAATGGAAGATGCGAAGAGAGCCTTTGCCTTTGCCGTTGCGGGAAATTGTAATAGAATAAAGCTTGGAATATCCAAGCTTTATTCAAAATTTACCCATATCAAATCATAAAATTCTAGGGAAATCGATTTTGGAAGAATTCAAAGAATTTAAACGACGAGATGAGATCATCGAGAGGCACAATGTGAGCGAAAAAGAGATAAAACACGACAGACAAGTACAGGAATGTACAAAAATGAAGAGGAAAAGCACCAAAAATTAATGAAAATTCAAAAAATTAAAGGGAAATTCAAGGGGCAACACATTGCTTGAGTTTGAAGAGGCGGCATTGTGTAGACGAGAAAAAACGAGCTTCATAAATCACAAATCCCTTTATCGACCGTTCACCCACACTCGACGAGGCTCCAAATCGGGGCATTCAAACTAAAAAGTCATTATACAGCATGGTTCAAATCTAAACCCAAAAACCCATGCCAACCTTAAAGTCGATGTTCTTTGGTGGTTCTTCGGGTTGATCGAGGCGTTGAATGGTGACCGTGCCTGATACGACCACTCCAAATTGGGGCTCGCTAGTCTAAACAGACTTTGATTCATCTTTTCGCACTTCTGGCTTAGCTGAAAAAAAAATCTGAAAAACGAATCAAGCAATGGATCAAGTAATTGATTCCAGCAAACAGTATTTAATGTTTTTAAAAGACATTCACTTATTAAGAACAAGAATAGATCTTATGTAAGAAATGGGAGCAAATGTGCAAGTTTGAGTCGGCACTCTCTTTCTCGATTCTTCTTACACATCACTGTGCTATCAGAGTGCTGATCCAGCGAATATGTTAGTCATTTACGCTCGGAATTCGCAGAGCCTTCAAAAACACCATTCAGCTTTGCCATATACATCATTTTTTGAACAAAGGAAATGTTATTTAGAAGAAATATAGAGTATGAAAAGTTCACATAATTTCTCTCGTTCTCCGATAAGCCCCTTTGTCACTCCGCAATCGGCGAGCTGTTGATTCAGCGTCATTCTGGGAACTGAGCAACTGATTAGCAAATAAAAGCCGAATCGAATGTCGTCGTTTTTTGGTGTCACTTGTATTTGAGACTTGAGATTTCCGGCATAGAAGCGTTCTGAAATGGAGAGCCGAATCCATGCGCCGAGGTGAGTTTGAGGCTTTCTTTGTCTTCCCTATTGAATCAAAATTTCAGAGTTATTGATGAGGTCTATCAATCGAAAGTCAGACTTTACAAGATTTTCTTTGTTTTTGGATTTCTTGGAGTTGTCTTGATTGGGAGTTTGACTTATTCGATGAATGCGGGCGATCAGAAAGGAAACCGGTAGGAATTTTATTTGAAAAAAGGGGATTAGTTTATGTAAACCTACAAAAATTGATATTTGATAACCAAAAGAGATGATCTGTTTGATTCTATTGGATTGGTGAATTGAAAACTGCGGGCTATTGTCATATGTGACAGTTTGAGCACTTTCTTCGAAAGAAACCCATTTTGATGTCAATGGAAAAGTTGTAGAGAATGAAAAATCAAGCTTATATCCTAATTTCCAAAAAGATACACTTAGTAGTTTCGCTTAAAATTTGTGTATTCTGCGTGTTCTTTGTGAGGCCGCGTAATCGCTCGTCGTCTGGCGCAGGGCTTTTACATAAGCCCCTTCCCTCTCTGCTTGCCGGCTCCCCAAATTGGACATTGACTTCTCCTCAAATCAAGGCTAATCTCAATCTATTGGGTTGATTAATTGAAAACTGCCGGCGATTGTCATATGTGACAGTTTGAGCACTTTCTTCAAAAGAAACCCATTTTGGTGTCAATGGAAAAGTTGTAGAGAATCAAAAATAAAGCTTATATCCAAATTTTCAGAACGATTCAAAAACTGGTTTTCAAGAAATGCCAAATTTTCACAAAACTTGCATTTTAAGCGAAACTACTAAGTGTATCTCTTTGGAAATTTGGCTATAAGCCTAATTTTTGATTCTCTACAACTTTTCCATTGACACCAAAAAGCGTTTCTTTTGAAGAAAGTGCTCAAACTGGAATCTCCAGTCTCCATCTCCAGTCCTCCATTTTTGAGTCTCACACTTGTCTCACACACAAACCAAAATCCTACTACGAAAGAGGAATCCGCAAATTGCCTGTAAAATGGGCAAAAGTCGTCAATAATAATGGAAATTATTTCGAATCAATTAATGGTTTTATGTTGAATAAATTTTAGTTTAAAGTCCCGCAGTTTTCAATTCACCAATCCAATATTTGATAGCCAAAAAGAAATTTTCGAGTTTTCAGTCACCCGAGGGATCTCGAAGATGAGCAGACTCTTTTGAATTTTTGCCGAAATCGGAGGTTTTTTTTGTTTTTTTACATTTTCAACGAAAATTTCGTTACAGCCATCGATTGAGCGAGAAAATCCGGGAAAGGTTGGCATTCTACGGGCTTTTTATATTTCATAAACTCTACTGAGCTCAAATTTTCTATTCGATTACAGAAATGAGAAGCTTTTCGAAACTACGTGTGATCTAGACGCTTGGAAAAGTCATTTCAATGAGAGGTCATCTAAAAAAACAAAAGATCTCATCTTTTTTTCAGCTCAACAAAATGGGAACAACAAGTTGCGGCGCTTAACTTAAAACTCGAGAATCAACAAAAGCAAATGTGAATTTATAGCCTTTCAGTTTCGCCTCAATGATCTTTTCAGAAAGGAATTGATGAACTCCTTTGATGCGTTACCGTGTCCCATCGGTTGGCAATTGTTCGGCGGTTTTTGCTATAAGGTGATCGATCCGGTCAAGTTCAATCTTTTGAGTTATTGAAAAGTAGAAAAGGCAGAAATGGAATCGTAGGGTTTTTTGAAGGTAGAAATCGGCTAGTGATTATGGTCGCATGCTTGAACGCGTATTGCTCCTCAAGGTTAGCTCCAAATCTTATGAGTAACATACCAAAATGTTGCTAAGAGTCTAGGGAAGCTAAATCTACGCATGGACTTTTGAGACAATGACTATAAAAGATTTTATTGCACTCTGCCTGCACTTTGCCTGTTGCTCGTTTCTTTTAAATTTTGGTGCAAAATATTTTTGTGATTGATGCTCAAAAGGTCAAACTCACAAGAAAAGGGCTTTAAATTTTGATAGGAAGTTTTTTAAAGTTAAAAACCGGGTGTGTAAGATCATATTTGATTGGCTTTTTGCTTTGACACCTGTTTTTTTTTGTTTTTTTTAAGAGAGGAAAAATGAGAGCCACAAGGAACATTACGATTTTTTTAAATCGTTACTTTCCAGCCAAATTCCAAATTATTTTAAGAAAACATTAAGAAAACATTTAGGGCAAAATTTAGGCAAACATTTTGGAGTAAAATTTTAAAAGTTAGCTGAATAAATCAAAATTCTACTCGTATGAGAAGCTTAGAATTGATTTCGGGCAAAGTGCCTTTTTTGAAAGGCACAAAAAACGCAATAAATTCTTTCATAGTCATTATCACAAAAATTCATGCGTATCTTTAGATTCTCTAGACTCTTAGCAACATTTTGGTATGTCACTCATAAGATTTGGAGCTAACCTTGAGGAGTAACACGCGTTCAAGCACGTGACAATACTTATTAGCCCTATTATTATTGTCTATAAAATCATCCCTGTATATAAGAGTGTATAAGATCCAGATCTACTTCAAATTAGTTCCAAGTTTCAAAAGTAACGCTAGAACATTCAGTTCTCCCTTAAAAACGTTCCATACGATCAAGCGGCAGAAATCTGCAAAAAGGAAAACAGCCATTTGGTGTCGATTCACAGCGCCGAGGAGAACTCTTTTGTCAGCAGTCAGTTTTCGATAATAAATTAGCTAGATGAGAGTCAGGTCACTTTACGAATGTTTCCACATGGATTTGGACGGGATTCACGGTATGTTTAAACAATTTTTTAGATACTTGCAAAAGAAACTATAGGTCAAAAAGCCACCATACAACGACTGTAAGTAAAGATGATCTGGATGGATTAGTATTTTGAGAAACCCCAATATCTTCTCATTATAATGATATGAAAAGAATTTTACAAAGCTTCCTTTGGAAGGCCAATGGAATTTGCAAAAAAAAGCACCAAAAATGACCTAGCGGAGCCGAATTTCAACTCAAGATTTCTTCACGGTTTTTCAATAAAGGTTTTGTGACTAATATGAAAGAAATTTACTAACTAAAACAAATAAATACAAATAAATTTGTTCTTTGCGTACTCTTTGTTAAAAGAATTTTCAAAAATGAACAAAATCACCTTAAAAACCGAATTTTGACCCTTTTTTTGAGAGTCACAACTCTTTAAAGGAATTTTCAAAGGAATTGAATGGAATAGTCCACCAAATTTCTTTTACTTTTCTTTAACTAGCTTCTAAAGAGATTGGACTTCTGATTTGTCAACAATTTAGGTCAGAGTTTCCTCAAAAAAAATCTTTTTTTATAAGTTTAAGCAGCCGCCAAGTCATTTTTAGTGCCTTTTTGAAACGTCCTTTTTAAAACGTCTATATTTCGTGCAAAAACGATCACTATAAAATCATTTTTATATTGTTAAAAGGAGAAAATATTGGGGGTTTTATTTTTGTGATTTTTAAAAATACTAATCAACTCGGTTCATCTTTACTTACGGTTGTTGTATGGTGGTTTTTTTTGACCCGCAGCTTCTTTTGAAAGTACCTACCGTAAATACTGTAATAGTACCCCACCCCCTCGTACTGTCGCGTAGTCGCAAACGTTTTTACTAATTCATTTTTTTTCAAAGCGCCCGTACTTTCAAAAAATGCGTCTTTGGTATCAAAAAATAGCCCTGAATCTCAGCTATTTTTTGATATCTAAGCAAACATTGTAGCAAAGTTTGAAGGGAAGTTTGAAGGGAAGCTTGAAGGGAAGTTTGAAGGGAAGTTTGAAGGAAGCTTGAAGGGAAGTTTGAAGCGCAACGTAGAGGCTCAACCTTTTAACCTCTGATATGTTTTTGGGCAGATCGACTAATTGTAAGCAATTTAAAGTTAGATTTGTCTCTAAAAACTTCTAGAATTTCAATATTTTTCTATAAGTTTTGAGTAAAGCGCTTTACTAATGACCAAAAAAAGGCAAAAAAGGCATCAAGTTTTTCATAGTGCAAGCTACCGTGTAACCTCTGTTTCTTTTACCTGACGCGAGTCAATTTTTATTAAAAACCTCGTCGATTTTTTGCTTAGAATTGATAAATGATCTAAGTATATAACTGAAAATTTAAATTCGCATATCTACGCAAGCAAGGGTTTTTTAACTACTTTAGCCATTTATAGGTGATCAAAAGTGCAATCTTTATTACAGACTGACCGTAGTCCCAACAGAAAATAGTAAATCAATAGCAAATCAATAGCTAAAACTTTATAGACAGAATTCTATATCAAAATTTGCATATTTAGATATTCAAACCCGGTTTTTCAACCGCTTTAGGCATTTGTAAGTGAGCTAAAACGTTGTCTTTCTATCATAGTACTGATTTACCTACCGTAAATACTGTAATAGTACCCTACCGCCCTCGTACAGTCGCGTAGTCGCAAAAGTTTTTGTGTATTTCATTTTTTTTCAAAGCGCCCGTACTTTCAAAAAACGTGTCTTTGGTATCAAAAAATAGCCCTGAATCTCAGCTATTTTTTGATATCTAAGCGAACATTGTAGCAAAAACCAGTGTCGAGAAAAACTCGATCAAAGCTAGACTACGCAACGCTCCGCACCGTCATTATGGGGGTGGGGTGCTATTACAGTATTTACGGTAATAGCTCGAAGTCGTCAATTGGATCTGGAGCGATGGAAGTGTTGTGGATTACACGAATTGGGGAAATGGTTGGCCCCAAGAGACTGGCACAAAGAAATGGGGTCATGTTTGTTGATTACAGTGAAAGGAGTATCATCTGGGTATTCAGATGTGGATTCAAGGTAGATTATGGGGCTGTAGTCCGAAATCGTATGCCCATGGTGTTGTCTGCAAGAAGAAGCCCGACAATCACAAATGAGATTTGCTTGTCACTCGTTTCTATTACCAATAAAGATTCTCTATCTTATCAATCGTAATTACCGTATTTTCTCTAATACTAGTGCACCCCGGCGAGCCGAGTTGGTGACTATTTTACGGTTTACCAAGCTTTTCCAAGAAGCTCAACACTCTAATCCCCCACTAGATCTCATCGTCAGCTACATTTTCCGACCCCACATCGATAGGTTCTGATCAGCGCTTCTCGAGATTTCGAGCAATTTAGGTGACGCTCTGGGTGCACTACTATTAGAGAAAATCCGGTATCAATCGTAAAAGTCACACTTATACACGTGAAATGTTCAAACTGAAAATTCACAGGCTCTCCCCATTCATTTCACCAGCTTCACCCAGCTTTGTTTTAGCAACATAAAATGTAGTTTTTGTGTAGGTATTTCCTGTAAGTATTTCGTTTGAATTCGGTTTTCCCACCCCGGAAAACCCCCGGGTGCACCATTTTCAGTTTCTTCTAACCCATTTTCTAGCTAAAGTGCGCGCTACTACCATTCCCAGCCTTAGGGGTTACTGTGGTTGAAAACTAAAACCGGATTCGAATTCCAAACCCCAAAAAAACCCCTTTGTAAAAATTTTCAGATCTACAGCTAACATAGAACTCTCTCGTCTGAATGGCAAATTAAGCGAAAAATGACTTTGTCGCGAGTGTGATAAAGATCCTTTCCTCAAAATGCGATCTTTGTCGTCTCCGAATGTCCATTTTCAGTTCTCGCTCGAGATCTCAGCCTCTCTCCGAACTTTCTCAGCCTAATCTGGTTTTTCCTTTCATTTTTCTGTTTCCTTATTCGAGATTTGTCATCACCACATGCCTCTCACGCCGAAATATTCCCATCGGCGTCAAGAGGAATGGGGAAATCCATCCGACAAATTTTTCCGCACAGCTATTCGATCCGATTTCTCGATGAGAATCATTGCAAAAATTTAATTTTGGCTTTTCAAAAAGGAACGATGAGATTTCGACTTTTGTTTATATTTTCTTTTTATTTGATTGCCTTGACGGCCATCAAGCCGCTGCCCATTCGACGGAATGAAGCGTTTTGTGTCAACCAAGTGAGTTTTTTGAGTTAAGAGACTTCGAGTTACAAGTTCACTAACAAAAAAAAGCGTTTATTTACCAAATGACCTCGGTTGTTCTAGATAACTTAAGACAGTTCGGATCGAAAATTAGGTGCGCTGTGCGCAAAGACTGGCTTTGGAAACATTAAACAGTCTACCGTAAAAGCTGTAATAGTAGCCCCGGGAACATTATTTTTTCGCTGACTCTCTAGTGGTCATTATTCTTTCGATAGTACTTTTTGCCGTTCACATGACCAAAACTGGAAAATACAGAGTGCCCTAAAATTACCCAAACCAATAAAACGCATGGTTTAAAAGCCTTTTCATCGAAAAAACAAAAATTTAACATTAACATATTCTCTAGATTGCTTTCAACAATTTGGTTTATTTTTTCTATATCTAAAATATCTGCATATTTTCGGAGATATTTTCTCCGACGATTCACGGGCGATTCACGGCTGCACAAGCGGCGAGACGTTTTTGGAGGCGCTCGATGCTCGAAGCCATCGATGGTGGCCAAAAGATACGCAGGATCGAGTTCAGCCCAAGCTTTCTGGAGTGACTTTTTTCAGTGAATCAATGCTTGAATCTTCTTTTAAGCAGGCCTTTGCTTTGAGAACACTCCTGAGTAATGAGTACTGAGTAATCCATCGGATTTAAATCAGGCCTTGATGGTGGCCACTGCTTAAAGCGGAAAGCCGATGAAATCCGGGAAGTTTCGTTCACACCTTCTTGATATTATTCTTTGTTGTCACGGTGGCTTTTCGGCTCAATCAATCAGAAGTTGTTCCAAGATTATTATATTAACGAATTGTCTCGTAAACGATCGGTTTTGCCACCATCAGCCTCTCAACATCCACCAATCTCAACTGGCCTGAAACTCCCTTCCGAAAAAGCTCGATAATCGAATCTTGATGAGTAGATTCGCTCACCATGCCTAAAAAAAATTAATTTATAAGGAGTAAATAACATTTTTGAAAGTCAAAATTTGCATAATAAAGAAAAGGTAGAAAGAGGATAGTCAACCCAAAAGCGCATAAAAGCAAAGCGCAGCAAACGGAGGTTGTTTCGGGTAATTTTGGGGCACTATATAGAGATAATTAGATAAAGATAATTACCACTCATTAAAGAAACAGTTTCCAATTCATTTATTTACGAAAATAAGTAAAATTCAACAAAAATTTAAAAAACTAGATCAACTGATCTATCAGACCCAAATTCTTCCTCACATTGCAACTTTCTCAATGGGAAATGGCATCCTATTTCGAACACTCGACGATCACGAAATTCCGTAAGGTCGTCTGGCTCAACCAATTGATCTATTTGTTTCGTTTCCACAGTTGAACACTTCCTGCTTCAGGTATCGTTACGAGATCGATCGACTTTATAGAATTTGGCTGCAGAGAGAATAGAAACCTCTTGTGCCATTTTTTACCACATCCAGTTTGGTCTTCAACGTGATTGATCGTTTTGAGTTTATTTCTTTTAGCCCTTTTGCATGCGAACCCATCTTCATCTTGCGAATCCAATCGTTGCTTGCAATTGCTAGCTCTTCTCTCTCCAAATTGCATCCTATTTCGAACGCTTGACGATCACGAAATTCCGTAAGGTCCTCTGGCTCAACCAATTGATCTATTTGTTTCGTTTCCACAGTTGAACACTTCCTGCTTCAGGTATCGTTACGAGATCGATCGACGTTATAGAATTTGGCGGCATAGTGAATAGAAACCTCTCGTGCCATTTTTTTTTACCACATCCAGTTTGGTCTTCAACGTGATTGATCGTTTTGAGTTTATTTATTTCATCTCTTTTGCATGCGAATCCACGTTGTTGCTTGCATCTTCTAGCTCTTCTCTCTCGAAATTGCATCCCATTTCGAACACTCGACGATCACGAAATTCCGTATGGTTGTCTGGCTCAACCAATTGATCGATCATCGGTTCCTAAAAGAAAATCATAAAAGTTGTACGTAAAAAAAGCATTGTAAAGTAAATTTTCACAATAAAAAGACAACAGTATTAATTATTTAAAAATGCGAAAATCTAGGTAGAGAAGTATGAAAACACGGTGCAATAAGTTGCGAAAATGATAGTTAGCTGTTAGCTTACTAGTCATTTTAGCAATTTTTAATTGAATCCTTTTAAATTGTAAGGAAAAGGTGAAATGATCGACTTTAAAAGCGCGAGTACAAGACGTTTTTTAGTAAAAGACGTAGTAACGTAGTAAAACGTAGTAAAACGTAGTAAAAGAGTTTTTTAGCAAAAGCAATTTGTTAAACGCTACACTTTACACGGCGTAAAGTGAATGAATCACACAATTGAATATTTCGCAATTTCAAGGAGAGTTACAAGATATTCAGCTAAAAACAGAGGCAAATTTGGGGGGCGGGGGGTAGCTATTATTAGAGGTGGGAAGCGGCTTTTACAGCTATTACAGCTTTTACCGTAACTACATAGAGCCTAAACTAAACGTAACTACATAGAGCCTGGATTTAGTGCGTCTCCTTTTATCAATTAGCGATGACTCAATGTGAATCTCAATACTCCGGTCTGATTGCATAGCTGCTTTCCAGAAACATGAATGTTTTTTAACATTACGAATGATCATTTCTATTTGTGACACTTCAGAAATTCGGCAATCTGCTCTATTTGGGTCCGGCAAAAACGATGACCACCATGATGGCAAGAGTGGGATCTGGAATTTAGTAGAGTTAGCAATGACTCTTTTAGATCCATTGTGAAATTGAAACGTTGAAGAAAAGAGGCCATATCGGACCGGGCGAAAGCGATAAACTCAATCATAACAAGTTTGATGTAGAAGGAAACAATATTAATTACAACTTTTCAGTTATTGCTTTGGGAAACAAAAGGACGAAATGGTGATGACGGCTTTCACGGCTCCGCTAAATGGTTGGGCTGGTCACAAGCGCTTTTTCATCTGGAGAGATCCGTTAGATCGTTTCCTCTCGCTTTATGGACACATGTGCAAGTGAGTGTTTTGAATGAATGGCACATTGCTTTTGAATGGTTACAAGTTGTATTAACTTGCTTTGCATTGATTAAGCAATCCTGATTACAACTAACAAAACGACAAAAGCTATTGAAAGTATCGGATTTAAGAAGTCCAGAAAATAAAAACTCTAGAGATGAGAGGAAAAATAAGATAGATTTGATAAGCTAATGAGATAAGTTTTCCACACTTGCTTACTGGATCCGTCGTTTCTTTTTTTTTTGCTTGTACTTAATGATGTACTTAATGCTGTGCTTCTACTTAATGCATTTTTTTTTCGAGAAAGCTAAAAAGCATGAATCAGCGCATTCAGACGAGAGCATCTCTGCGGAGTTGCCGGCAAGAATATCCACTCGTTTGCTCGTGGTGTCTACCAGATGCTCAAATCGAATCGCGGAGGGCCCGGCTCAAAGGACTTTCTGCGATTCAAACATCACGTCATTCCGCAATCTTGGTGAGAAATTTTCGAAGATCTAGTTGAAATTCTGAACTCACTAGGGAACTGTTTGAAGTTACTACCGATTTTCGAAACCGGACCTAGCTACAAAGCGTCCCCGTTGAATTCCAAGAAATATATTTGATTTTTGTCTGATGGAGGCTAGTTTTTGAGAAAAACGCATGCAAAGTTTCGGCTAATTTAGGCAAACTGCCACCTCACCTATAAAGGGGCGCCAAGCGAGAGTGGAGGAAGAGCGGTGATACCCTAGGGGATCGGCTAGTCAACGAAACTATACCATTTTTGCTCGCGGGTTCAATCCCGCTCTCAGCCAAACTTTTTTGCTTTTTCCCTGAAACATAAGAAGCTGTTTTTAGGAATATTTAAGCATTTTAAAGCTTCCAAAAACCTTTTGATGATGAAGATTGATGAAGTCATTGGAAATTGTCAAGAAGTCAGCTCTT